AAACACCGAGCTTATCCTCATCGACATCCAGTCATTGCGTTTACTAGAAACAGTACTTACAAGATACACATCAATTATTACGTAAGACCGGTCATGAGCGAATAATGTGTTTTCTTCGTGAAAACAGCGATTTTGCACGCCGAAATTAAACATTCCGCGCCCGTTGGTGTAATGTTGTTTACATTATGGTCGTGACACACTTAGCTTTATTGGCTTTACAAATTAACGGAACAAGGCGAAATTTATAACGACGTGAATTTTTTTAATAGGGACAGTGAAATTAAACTACCATCCAATAGAGAGATTCTTATCTATTTTATTCTGCATAGATAGATAGATTCTTATCTATGAGGAGAACAAAAAACAATGAAAGGACTTGATTAGTATCATAAGGATTCATAAGAAATCATGAGGGAGCACAGAATTTCTTTTGAATCCAGAGTATCTAGTAACTAGCCATAAGAGAGGAAATATCTAAATAAAAATTAGAAATGTTATACATAGCAAGCAACTTTTAAATTACTCTAGCTCTAGGATATGTAGGTACTCAAAGAGCTCTTGGAGTACACTATGCATAAAAGAAAACCCGTATTTCAGTTGAATTAGTATTTATGATGTCAATAAGGTTCGTGATGCCTTTCTGAGACATCCCGATACTGAATATTGTGTCGCGTAACGGCAAAACAACATCCAACGTCAGACTTTCTTCGTTGTATAACGGTCGGGTTTTCGATTATAAATTTTATTTACGTTTTCAGTTTAGGTATCTTTAATATATTCTACACCGTTGATAAGCTACTTACCTAATAAACGTTTCGTTTTTAAATGTAAGGTCAAATGATATAGATTTGCGTACAGAATAAATATTTAATGCTTATTCCGTTTATTTCGACTATGTTATAATTTTTTTGTACGTAAACTAAAATAATGTGAAATTTTTCATAAAATTGGCTGCGATTTTGGGATATGTTATTTATTAACAATAAGAAAAATACGGCTAATTAGGCGTAGTAATTTGCAAAATTCATCTTTTAACCCAATACTAACAGTAGTAAAAATAAATCCGATAAAATACAAGGTTGCTTTAACGTAATACTTCAGATAAAAATCGTTGGTGTCGATAAATTATGTTTTTGCGCGTGTCGTTTCCAATTTACAGCGTACATAAATTAAAATTTATTGGAATTCGTCCGGATCTTTCTTATTAAATCATAGATAATTATTTTTTTCTTATGATTGAAATATACTGCTTCACAAAAGTTAAGGAAGTCCACTAATATTGAGATTAATTTAAAAGTTGCAGGTTTTTTGATGGCCAAATTTAATATGAGTTGTAGAGGTAGGGACAAAAAATCCACTCAGATATGAGAGAAAACATTTAATTTCGCATATTTGATAATTTGGTCAAAAAGTCTGTAACTTTTAAAATAGTCGCAAAATTTGCTTCCTTAACTTTTGTGGAGCAGTTTATTTACTTCGATCATATTAATTTATAAAGTTCGATTTTTTTTGACAAAGCTAATCGATATGTCGCAAAACCTATGCATAAAATTAATATCACTCTGAATCAACAAATGTCATTGTCAAAGTCGGTTTAGGTCGCGGCATTGAAACTACTCCCGTAAAGAAAATTAGCGATTATGATTTATGAAGCGCTATTAATTCACTAAACCAGCCATTTAAAACTGGTAGATTTTCAGTGATAATTTCGATCGTAATTGCCGGATTCAAACGCGAATTTTGCCTACATGGAAGAGTTTCGTAACTATTTTTCTATTTGCCAAGGTGAACCGGATACAATAAGCTCGCTTTGCATTTTGTCAGCATGCACAAGGATAACATCCAATAAAACAACCTTGCCGAAAATTTCTTTCGGATTTTTTAGCAGCCGAATTGAACGGTATTTAATCGAGATGGAATGTTAACGAATCAGCGAAGGCTACGCGTGGAAATCCTGGAATATTTTTCGAATTTACGCGCACAATGCGTTCACCGATTTCTTTGTGTTGATATGCAAGGTAGCCGCTTCGCGGTATTTTTAACGATGCAATTAAAAAGTTTACAATGCGAAATTCTTGCATGAGGAAATCGTAAAAGCGAACTTAAAACGAAACACCTTCGATTCGCTTCCTTGGGGTTTTTGGGCCGGTTTTCGTACAGTTTTGATTCGAAAATATGCAATTGCAATTAACTGTATGCACCAAACGGAGTATCCGAACTCTGCCACAAAATGCAGGTAGTCATTATGGGTTGTTCGAACTCTGCCAGGTTTTAAAATTTTAGGGATTAAGTATTTAACCCGTAGGGGTCTAATTGTTTAATCCGATTTAACAATTTCATAATATATTTTCAACGTATATTTGTAACAAAAAATACATGTACATTTTAATAAAATATATAGGTTTAAATATACACATAAAAATAAAATAAAATTATATCTGAGGAAGATTTTTACATGTCACCGTTTTCACAAATATAAAGCGAGAAATAGTATTTTTCTTATAGTTTTCCGTATGATTATGAATAATTATATGTTTTTTTTTCCGATTTTAGTTCGCCGAACGAATTTTCGCGTATATATCCGTTTGAAAATCTAATAACACACTAATAAATTAGACAATATTTGGGTGTGCTTTATAAAGAGTTATTAAAATGGGAATGAAAACTCTCACAAGAATTAGTTGTCCTCTTAAAAAAGTCTGCAATGTTTGCCCAAATATGTGGTGGAAATATCGAATATTGTTTTTTATACGTTTTATTGACATAATTGCGAAATTATATAATTCTCTCATCGTTTGGAAGCAAAAAATGTAGTTCGTTATTAAAAAATTCAACAACTTCCTCAGGTCTAAGAAACATCATTCCAAAATGTACTTTTAAGTAGTCGCCAATTACTCAATCTTTCTGCATGTACTCTTGTACCCAATGAAACTCCAGAATCTTTCGAAACCAAGCTTGACAGAGATGAAATTTACAACCAAAAATAATTTGATCTCTACCAAAACATTCATATATAGCGTTATGAATGCTTAGTTCAAAATCTACTACGACTTCTTTGCGTTGAAATTTTAAGTTTTATTTAGGTAATATTATAATAAACCCTAATGACACTAATAGGATTAAACTTAATGGTCGTGGCAGAGTTCGAACCATTCAGTAATCCCCAAATTGATACAATTCAGGTAACATTTTATTTTGTGGCAGAGTTCGGATATGCCCGTACCAAAGTCTAAAATCTGCCAACACTTTTTCTGTACCGATGAGTAGGTAACGAAAAGAATTTGTAAAAGAGGTTACCGAAGCAAACTTCCCTAACAACAAAATAAACAAAAAATTTCACCTCATGGAAACTCAATGGTCCTACATTTCAAGGACCTTGTTCAATATACAGATATCCTTCTACATCAGTAAAAAACCGTTGAGTAAACACGTCGATAAGAAGAACCTGTGATAAAACGAACGGTTATTTTTTTTATATTTTCGCCGGAAATAATTGCCAGCGTACATACGCTGGTCCCCTGAACATACAGTATGTACGAACTGATCCGCTGCAAGCATATAATGAGAATAATGAGATAGCTAATTTAACTTTTGCTATGTAAGGAATAAAGAGAACATACGAAATAGTCACGCCCGCTATCCCCGCTATTCGCTAGTGAACGAAGCGAAGCGAATTGACGAATTCTAATATCGGCCGGCAACCGATAAACAAGTTTCTGTTCTTTACTATCTTATAGTATTGATTGAGATTCTAATTCTAACGCTTGCAGCGGAAGAATTCGTACACTCTGTATACCCAACCTACATGCGTTTTTCACACAAAGTAGGTAACACCAAAAATCGACCGTGAACGGTATACTGGCTTGTTTATACGAATGACGTCACAAGGATGCAATTACCAATTAGAGGGGAAGGAGGTTCCGTGCCTGCGCACCATCACTCGATTCCAAACAGAAACCCGTCACGGCGTTGTCAGATCGATAGCGATTACGGTCGGCCTGGGGATATTTCGCCGTTGCGGTTCGTTCTCGCCGGCAAATTGCGGTAGATTGCATTTCGAAAAAAATTACTGTATATCGGGTAATTTTCAGCTCTAGTCGACTGTAGCACGTAAAATAATATGCTTATTGATAGATTATTGTATTGTATGTCTTCGATAAGTATATGAATAATGGTGAAGCAGTAGAATATAGTCTCCAATACAACCGCTCTTTTAGATCAAATTATGATATTTTAAACAATTTTAGCAAATTTAACTTTTCCTTTAATATTATATTGACATAAAGAAATATATTATATTGACACCGACTATAAAGCATACTTAATAATTCGATTAAAAAGGATATTTCTCATTACAAGATTTTTGATGTGTGTACTATATTATATTTTCTTGGCTGTTGCTGTTGGACTTGTATTATAATTACCTACTGTTCGAAAATTGGCACATTATTATCTAATAATTAGCTGCCCAGTGTAGCTTATGTTACTTAATAAGAATGTCTATTAATAACTTTCGAATTACCTAATTTTACTTGTAATATTCGCTTTTTATTCCAGAAATCTGTTTGATTGATTTTTGTTTCGATTATTGATTTTCTATAGTAACCATCGCGCTTTGCAACAACAATTTGTTGTGTAATACGTTTTATAAATTATTGCGGAGTTTTTGTGCCGGCATTCGAATAAGCCGGTTCTTACACAAAGCGTAGTAAAAGCTCGTGATTTCCGTGGGTCTTTATTCGGCAACATTGCGACGACAATAGTCGACCAAAGGAATGTATTATCAGAGCGGCCACTGATTTCGTGAAAATCCAACAGGTCGAACTTCGCATTGTGCGTAAGCTTCTGATTTCCTACGCATTTCGACGTTGTTTACAACATAAAACGAGGCGCATTTGATTCGTTACGCGTTAGGAAAAAAAAGCCGGTATACTACGTAATGGGTTTTTAGTATAGGATTTTGAAATGCGGTGTAAATAGATTTAGAAAATGTATCTTACCTCAATACCAGTAGGATGAATTCTGATGATGACCTCGTCGGTTTCGGCGTGATGCTTGCAAACTTCCCCGCAAACTTCTCTGCCGTTGTGTGTAACGAAGCATTTCTGACCGGGAACGAGTTCCAGTCCGAGAACCGATTGGAATCCGGGACCTATGAGCTCGGTCTCGTGGAATTCGGCGCTCGTCCGGCCCAAGTTCCCTTGGCGGGAGTCGAAGCGCACCGTGTAGCGCGTATTCGGCGTCAAATTGATGCAATTGTTATTTTCGGTGAAATTCGCCGGGGTCTTGACGGCCTGTATGACGCCCGAATAGTACTTGCCGTCCTCTCCCGGCGCACAGACGCGCGTCCCGATTATGGATCGCTTCGCCAAACGTTTTCCCGTCGACATTTTCGCTGTGATTATCGATATACAAACGGCACGTCTTCGTCGATCCAGTAAAAACTGCGACTTTCCCAAGTCCTTTACGAACTATTCACAATACAACGTCATCAATAAAATACAGTCTTCTCACTAATAATTTTCGCAACGAATGCTGATTACTAATACGACACCTTATGTATCCATTTACAACTGATGTTTTCTTATAATCAGTAATGCACATACTTATCAAGGGGTTGAATGATATCGGCTTCTGATGCTTGCGCTGCCACAAACAGTCGAAGAACAACTAAACAGCCGGCCGGCTATAGCGGAGCGACAACAGCTGATGACGACACGACGCCGCTCAGCTTCCGTCTCGTTCGATTAGCGATAGTTAGACGAGGAAGGGAGCGGGTACGACGTTGCCGGTATGAATTTCAACGCGCCCGGACCCAGCTGATGATAACAACAAACGCACGTGACGACGTTCCAGCCCGATCATTGGTCGAATTCGATGACCTAGTTTGAGCTATTGGCCAGAGCGTGGGGATAGAGGTCAAACAGTTAGGTAAGCAGAGCGGGGTTGCCGAACTATGCGAAAAGTTTGCGTTCTTTAGGAGGAATTTCCAAAATTACCGGCGATTATGGTCACTTCAATTCGAGTAAATTTTGTGGTGTTCATAATAAATTTGGTCATTTCCTTTCATAATAACTTCATAAAATTTTAGTAATAAAGTAGATTTTCTGATTCAATTTAAATTACAATACTTAACCATCAAAATATTTTTGACCGATTTATTTAAATGACAAAATAATACTAAATTAATATTTTCAAATTTTTATATTAAATTTAAGATTATTCTGATTTAGCGAAAATACATGCTTATACAGAAGGCTTTGTTGACTAAATATTATCGTGAATCAAAGAAACATCCACTGTCATTAACTGCAAATTAATCAAACAGCTCTTTCTTATAAAGTATTGGAATCGAATTAAATTAAATACTCAGAAACTCATGCTAATTAACCCAAATTAACCATACCTTTATCACATTGTGAACGGTTTTTAATGTGTATTGTAAGTTCCAAAATGTAATAATCTCTTCCTAGCCTACTGGGAAAATTATTGTCTACCTAATCTTTTAGTTCGGTGTAGGATTGATTTGAAGAATTAGTCAGATAAAATATATATTCATCAGATTCTTCAGATTGTATATTTGATAGATTCCTGCGGAAATTAAGTGCTCTCGGGATGCTAAACCGCAGGCACCTGATACCTGACAGACCGCATATTAGACCGGCACCAAATTATATTACTTCATATTTTTCTAAAAGTATCGATGGATATATTATGTTCAAATTAAAGGTTCGAGTTGTAATTCTCAGCATTAGAAAATTTGTTTTAAGAAAAGATGTTTTTAATGTTTATAACTTATTAAAGGCGGATGAATGAATAGGTGATAGGTGAAGAAACCGGGAAATTTTCAAACCAATACCAAGGATTTACCGGATAAGTCAGGACCAGTTGGTTTAAACGTTTTTTTTGTTATTTACAAATAACAAAACAAATAACAAACATTTTATTATTAGTGTAAAATTGTTTCCAAATTATTAATATTACAGTTAAAAATGCGATTAAAAACGTAAGGAATTTAGTAAAGCCAAAATTAAATATCTATAGTGCCTACTTGAAAATTATCAATAAGAAATACCTGATAAATAATTTTTCGAGATAAAATAAATAGTGATTGTATTATAGGACGAACAAAGCATTACTTTACCTAACACTCCAAAACTAATAAACTAATAAATATAATGAATAAATCATACTAAAATAGGAACAAATGCACTGATTCAAAATTCGCAATAATCTAATCTTAGCAAAATCAGTGAACCGAAATGATCCTCACACACACTAGAATCGCCTTCAACTCGCTCAATTACTTTACGAAACGAATTTCCGCATAAACAAAAAGCGTTTACTTAAATTTTCAACAATTTAATATCATCACGAAGCCTACTCGTTTTCCCGTTTCGTAAAACCAACGACAAAATCGCTGCGAGAATCGACAACGTCGCTCACATTCAAACCCATTCCGCCTGTTAGCGGACTCGAAAGGGGGGAATTTCTTGCTCGTGTCGCGCTAATACCGGCTCCGGCTAGGATGCTCGGTACCGTACCGGCGTTTTCTCCATCTCCCCAACTGCGCCACAACAAACAGAACCCGTAGCGATTTTTTCGCATTTCACCCCTAAAATTCATGTTATACCTACTGTAAGCTTGCCCTATTTACCACACTGTACTTCATTCTAATCAATGATGATAATTTTCAGGAGGTGGGAGTAATAGTCTTGCATTTTATGTAGAAAAGTTTTTGTAGTCATAGTATATCTAATATTACAAGTTTTAAAAACCTATAGGAACAATAATTGGACCAATAAAAACAGGAAATGTTGGTCATCTGTTGTATGTCTAAATTTCCTGCAATTTCCAGGTCGAATTCGTTCTCCCCCCATTCGGAGCTCCTTATAAAGAATTTACAGGAATTTAAAGCACCTGGCTCCCATTCGATTTAGCTGTTTATCTCCGCTCCTGCGTTTTCCCCCTCGTTTCGATAGATAACGAATCGCAGGAAGGGTACGTGGGTGCGTCGAAAAATTCCGTATTTAGGTCACGTCATGTTTAACCCAGTTTCTTTGTCGCAGTGACGGGGATATTTCGGTGTGGAGTTGGAGCCGGCAGAGGGATCGGCCGGTTAACTTACGCCGGATGAATGTTTAATACGCTTGGAAATGGAAACCGCTGGAAAATGGTAATTAAATGACGCTGGGATAACTACGAATTCGATATGTTGTTCGAAATATTTGTAGGTTTGGTAACCTTCGGATATATCGAATGCGGAATTCTGTATGTTTTACCGGCGCTTCGGCAATAAATGTAGAAACTAAAATTTCTATTCGACACACTTATGAAATTCCACACATTATTTGCAAGGTCCTGTTGAGTTTAACTCTCTCTATTACCTAGTGTTTCGCTTATTAATAGGCGATACCATAATGGTAAGAAAAAACGTGGCAAAATTAAATTGTTTAAAATTTTCGACAATCTACAATCTCGATTACCCAACTTGCTCCATAAACCATTTTGTATATTTCATAGTAATCCGCGAAATCCGCGAAAAATTCGTGAAATTGGGCCGTCGTCGAGTAAATTTATGTTGACAGGTGCTCTTACTATACTTAATTATATCTTGAATTTTTCTTTTAATTTTTGCTCGGCATTCCGACGTGACCGAGTCAAAATAATTCGGTCTCTTGTCACTTCGGTTTTCGAGTTTCATCTGGTTTTAATTAGGCGAACGTTGATTTTCCGTTGTGGGATTCGATAGCGATCGTTGGAGTCCAATAAAAAATTAATGCAATATTTCGCTATATTCATTTCGATAGAAATGAAGATTAGAATAACGATAACCTCGATAATAGTCGATAGCGAAATTCAAACAAAGGCTTATTGCATTAAAATAACGTAAAAAATCACTTTATCTGTAATGAGCAATTTATTTCACCAAAGATTAGAAGTGCAATATGAATGCGTATACCTATGTATTTAATTTTCTCACATAAACAAGTAAATCAATGCCATAAACTTACCTCAAATTCATAGTAGTAGATTAAATTATTAAGGAAAACATTTGAAAATTTATTTCAAACAATACCCAACGAAAATAATATCGTAAAACCCCGCAACGTAGATATAATAACATGATTTATCACGATCTGAAAATCGATGACATTGAACTCATAGAAAAAATATATTTTTCAATAAAGGCAGTAACCCCGAGAGGTTACCGCTAAACCACACGTTTGTCAGTATTGTGCGATAAAACGAAAATAGTTAACAATAAAATCGACGACAGACATGTCAATTGTACCTCGAAAAAGATCAATAAGTAATGCAGATATTTTCATATCGTGAATTCAATAACCTTTGTATTTGTTAAATTGTTGAAATATTTATGCACGCGAATCGATAATATATATAAACTAAATCGGTAATTTAACTTATTATGTATAATAACAATTTCGCATTTTTTTAATTAGGTAATGGATTACGATTGTTCTTGTAGGATCTTGTGGAAGATCCGCCTATATGCGCCTATCCTTTTACATAATCATATTAGCGAGAGCATTCTACCGTAATATTTCCAATTTAGAGAATGTAATTAATCTTTTAAATAAAGTTTCTTGTGTTGTGAATATAAAAAATTAATAGGGTGTAAAAAACGCATTTCACTTAAAATGCAGCTTTCACTCGATTGAAAATGAAACACGTAGATACGTGTGCACATACATAGCATATCCGGAATGATATTTTCGAACATTCCTTTATTAATAAAAGTCTGATACTAATTTGAGTTATCTCTATCAGGTTTTTTACAAACTGATGGAAGCAATATTCATCAACATAATGCATGAGAGTAGGTACCTATTAATTAAAAATTAGTGCAATTGTAGAATAATCCACCACGCCCTGTATTTTTATTAATCTTGCTAATTCTGCCATTACGTTATTTAACAATTTCATTTAATAATTCTAGAATTCGTTACGGTTTTTATTGAACACTCAACGGCTCTGTGGAACACCTATTGTTATTATAGATAGGAATGCAACAGTTCTATTGACGTAATACAAAAGAGAAATAACGTTACTAATTTACGTAAATAAGCTTTGACGTCAGTAAAAACTTTGGTTATCGAAAATTTTTGTAAGAATTCGGCTGTGGTAATTCGAAGGGAAAGGTAATGAACGAAAGGCATTAATGAGATTCAAATATTTAACGCGTGCGTTGCCAACTTTCTAATTTGAATATAGAAAGAAACTTCAACGTTTCCCTAATAACTGCTATGTTTATTCCTAGGTAATTATTTATACAATAGTAGATCTATAATTTAGATAAGATTTTCGGTTTCAACGGTGGGTTTCTTTGTTTAGATGTTTATCCACGATTACAAATATTTCTGAATTGTAAGTGAGCGCGTCGTGTAGCGATCTAACTGTACAGATTTAAAAATAAACCAACAAAATTATGTAACAAAAAACGGGGACCCGGCCCGACCAATGTTCCGCCGAATAGTCGCAAATCTAGCTTACAACAAATCACCTATACCATTTACCTGGCAACGTTGCTAGGCTTCACCAAGTGCGACCCTGGCGACGTCACCGAATCAACAATCAACGTCATCCTATTTAGCGGCCGCCTCGCTACACGTGCCTCCTTCCTATTTATTAGTTTAGCAATAATTGTTTTAAATCTAATTTTTAAACAACCAAGGTAAGCTTCATTAGGCTTGTGTTCCAATTTTCTAGGCTAATTGCGTTGGCCAATATCGAAATATTTAGGGTGCCGGTCTAATATGCCGGTCTACCAGGTGCGTGCGGTCTGCCTGCCCGGGAGCATTTAATTTTCACACAGCAATCTGCCAAATATTTAAGAATTTCGATCTGGCTAATTCTGCAAATAAATTCCACACCGAGTTGTTTGATTACGTAGGCGATAATTTTCCTAATAGGTATATGTATAGCCTTTAATATAATTTTTTTCTAAATTTCAATTTCAAAAAATGTCATCCATATAGGGGTAATTGACATTAGTTTAGGGGCCTACTTAATTTAATCTGATTTCATGAAATTGTATTAAGAAACTATGTATAAGAAATATATACCTAACTTTTATTTAAACTGGCCCCAAATTTAGCCTTTTCTGCAACCACCTGCAACTGAAGAACTAATATATTGGAAACTTCTATTTGTGTGAATGGATTTAAAGTATAAATCTAAAGTGGTGCTGAAATAAAGACTGAAACTACCATTAAATCTTCACTCTTTGCTCACTTAAAATGAAGACTGTACCTAGGCAATTGATTTTTTGGAAAAGTCTGAAACTAAATAGACGCCAAGAAGTAATTAGGGCCTTACTATCGGCCGTATGGACGATAGTAAATATCTTTTTAATGGACCGTCTTAATTGCTGGATAACTACCAATCTCTGTTCTGTTGACTTAGTGTAATTGAGTTTTTAATGATAATAAAATTTCATTCAATAATAAATCGGTATAATAAATTATTTGACCAGCTTTTATAACAAGTTGATAACTTCCAATATTTTGCCATTACATTTCCACAAGTTTGTTTACAATTTATAATGTTGAAATATGTATGTTATAAAGATAAGAATCCTAATTTTCGCATCAATAATATTACTTAAACTTTGGAAGTTTATTGAATTAATTCCTTCATTTTAAATATACATATGCATGTTTATGAAAAGTTGCTACCTATAGCAGGTATTAATGACCTATTAATTTATTTATTAAGAGTCCCTTATACATTGTTGTGTATACCTTATTTTTACTAGTAACAGGATGTCTTTTCAAAGTGAATTCAAGGAATTTGTTATTTTGAAAATTTTAACCTCCAGTTCATTTATGTACTTACAGTTATTATTTATCCTCAAAAAAAAACAAAATTGAAAAACATAAAACGGTAACCCGGCAAATAAAAATATCCGCAAATAAACTTTTGTTCAAAAACACTCTTTAAATATTTATCAGTAGCACAAGTAACTTTGTTATCAATTTTATCTTAGCATAAGCGTTCTTAAATTAAAAAATATCACACCAACGAATCTATTTTTAAATTGGCTGTAATAAACATTTTTTTCTCTTAATACCAAATAAAAAATCGGGCGAGTATGCGTCCGTTCTTATGTAATCGCCTGCAGACGAAAATAGCAGGTCTAAAAAAAATCAGCCAACAAAAACAATCAAGGTTGTCATTGCAACAAAAGTTTTAACACTGTAGGCGAAAATATAATTTCAAGGTTTCAGATAATTAACAATATTAGATAGGCATCAGTTGACAAAGGTCAGGGTGTTGCCAATTTTGTGCAAACATACAGAAATTTCTGCACTTTTTTAAAGTTATCAAAAAATTTGGTACAAGAGAAACAATTCAATGTTAACAGGTATTAAAGATCTTCTTCCGATTACCGTGATTTCTTGCTGGTTAATGGCTTATTAAATGAGGGTTTTTAGATTATTATTTGAGTCAAATTTTTCCACCAAAATACTTAAAACCGCATCCTTGAAATTGCTTACTCATTGAAGTTGCAATTGGTAAATAAAATACCTAATCCCAGCAGACTAGAAAATTACAACAGGCATTTTTTTGCAAGGTTGTTCCGTAAGCGTTCGGATGTTTTGCCTTTACCGAAAAACAAAAAGTACCTGAATAAAAACCCCAAAATATATTTAAACGAAAACAACAGACGTTTTGATTCGTATGTGTTTTCAAAACTAATCTGTAACCGCAATTTGATAAGCACATTATCGGTCTATGTATAGTTTACATTCAAAAATAAAACAAAAGGCTTTTTTTAAATCATTCTTTTATTGTCTTGCCCCCATCTCAGGGCTGGATATTAATATGGATACATCAGTCAAGAGTGAACATATGGAGACATAAAGGGACGCTGACACTTCCAAAAAATGATATGCGCCGTGTTTTGTTTCTGCTTTGTTTTTGTCACACTTGAACGTACACTTTGATACAGTTCAGTAATTTTAGAGAAGTGTCCAGCGTGTGTTTTTGGATTGAATTGAAAAAGGTTCTTCCAGATTTTTTTTCGGGGGACTACTGCTTACTTGGAATATCTAGAAAATTTAAAATTATCACAAATTCAATCGTCAACGTTTCGATAAGATTTTTTTTATATCAATAACAAGGTCGTTCGAAGCTGATATCAATGAAAAGGTGGGCACTATTTGGGTTAGCGGTGACGCACTGGACTTTAGTATCACCAAAAGAAACCCCTCAATAAAGATAAGTCATGATTAATATAGATTATTTATACAAAATTGATTATATTGATATAGAAAATTATCATGCATAGCAACAATTGTCCCTAAAATCTGGAAAAATCTTTTTCGAACGTTCATTTCGACCCCTTCTCTTCGCTTTTGCCGATCCTAAGTTTACTTAATAACAGCGTAAAAAATCTAATTTTTTATAATACTAAGCCCTCTTCGTTATTCTCTGAACTGTACGGAGTGTATAACAAGAAAAATGTTTAAATAAGCCGATAATAAAAAACGACGGTTGCTCAAATGAAAGTTTTAATCGCGAAAATTCATTTCAGCAATCGACTCCAAATCATGTAGGACTCAGCATAACCAACTATTTATTTTTTCGAGTCGCAAAAATTTTGTACAAAATTGCGCTATTAATGAGTATTAAAGTTAGGAAGTTTTTGTTACTCTAATCTATTTAGGAGCAGATACAAACGAAGCGCTTGAAAAATGCCTTAATTTTATCAGAAAGCAAATGTGGTGGAATTCGGAATTAAAATGTAAATACTTTTTTAATTAAGTTTATACACGTTTTTTTGGGATTCGTTTAAATAATTATTATTGTACGGATTAGGTTATTTCCAAATTACCGAAGGCATGCGTACACATAATATTTTGCCTTCCAATAAAAATTAAGTAAACCATGTTCACGTACTACCTTAAAAATTTAGTCTAAAGTCTACTCGAAATTTGTAAAAATGTCGTTGTCGAATCCGATCCAAAAATAAATCATTGGCTATGCTCTTAGAAATAGTGTCTTTATCTTCATCTAAAGGTATTGAAAGAGAGATTTTTTCGAAGCATTAATCAAAAGCAGCTATACCTATGTATGTTGAAATAACATCTTTGCGCTATAAGGTAGGTATTTAAAAAAATCAATTTTCCCATACTTATTTTGTTAAATGTACAAAGCTGTTATAATATTATATACAGTATGTTCTTAAAAATTGGTACGATAAAAAATTAAATTAGAAACTACGGCATTAGAAATTGATGAACAATGATAAATATTGGTTTAGATAACTCAGTAGATTCGTTGATTTAGTAACCAAGTGTCGATTTGTAAATTACGAATTAAAATTTATTCCTAGAAACTCCGATTTGTGATAACATAAACGCATCTTATAAAAATTCGTTATCAAAACAAAAATTGTTTGCGAGAAACATAAACCAATTTATAAACCGAAACAAGTGCAATATTTCGAAAGTAACCGTCGCCGACGTAAAACGAAATAATTGGCAATTTAATTATAAATAATCGAAAGTTATTTCTCTAATTATCTCCGCAAAATTCTCCGCTCTATATACCAAAAGTATTTTAATTAATCGATACACCGGATGTCCCAATAAGTTTCAACTAATGTTAATCGAATAAAAACTTATATAAATATACCTACAAATTCATTCGAAAAAATAAACTTAACCGTCATGTAATTTAAATGAATAATTTATTAATGACTAACTTAGGAGTTGTTAACTCATTTGCCAATATCCCAACGAGTGAGTATATAATTTCATTTCAAACCACTTAATAAATTTTACATAAAACTTTGATTTAATTTCCAATTAATATTGAGACACAGGTTTAACATTATTAATAATTAGAATAATAATGATAACAACTTCATATCTTGAAGAAACGTACAAAAATTATTCATTTCGGCACATAAAAATAGGGTATAACATAACACTTTCAACATTTACCATCTTATTTACAAAATTTCGTATACCGAATGGCCCAAAAACGACTGGCAAAAATAAACAACTACCTATACTTAATATAAAAATGTTCTAAATTTGCGTAAGAGTAAATCCAATAGTTCAATAAAATAGAATTTTGTCAGCGAATTTTGAGACATTGCGGTAATTTAATTAATTATGACATTTAAATTCAAACAATCAAATTTCTTCGAATGGGTTATTAGTTAAAAAATTCGACATAGTCATATCTCGATGTTCTGTACAATATATAAAGATAATTAACAAAAATTAACGATACAATAAATAAAATATTAAAGGAATTTGTATAAAAAATAATTTAATTTAATAAAAAATGCATATCTGCCGCTCAATAATTTATTAAATTTTTTTTTGGTTATCTAGGAAATAAAAATATATAAGTATATAAAATTAATGGAAATAAAAATTAAATCATTTCTTATACTAGACCTCTAGAGTTTTATCAAAATTTTTCAATATATAACAAAATCTTATATATTTCCAAAACTATATGAAGCTAAAACAATCCACTCAAATCATGGCGCCCGTTTTACATAAAATTTCAGGCTAACCTTGATTCAGCAAAGTGAATACAATGATTTATTAAAAATAATAAGTCAAGAACAACCAAAAGTTCTTTAATTATTAATTATATTTTAATACTTTATTTAAATCGCTATGGCCAGGATATGTTAGTTCCTTTCATATTTCCATATATCGTACTTGTACGATCATGTGGCCTATATCACTCGTTTTATTTATAAACCCTATAGTTTCGAAAGAACGTTTGGTGTTCTTAAATATTTAGCTAATTTGTTTATGGATCGGAGGTTATTTCTTTTAAAAGCTTAGGGAATTTGAACAGCCAACATAATATTATTATCACATGCAGTTCAACAATTTAAGAATAATTAATTATATCCTATATGTTACATTAAAGGTTCCCTTCATATACAATTCTATGTTGTTTTGTTTAAATATATATTTTACAATAATTATCAACATTACCTTAAGTCCTCGTATAAGTTTCAAGTAAAAAAGCAAGTTCAATTCCAATGAAGCATATTTTTTCATAAAGCGACAAAGCGTCGGTTTTTCGTTCGTATTTAAAAGAGTCCCTTTGCTAATTAAACGATGCTTACCTCTAGTAGGTTTGAGGTAAATTTTTGTAAAATTTTACTTGAGTAATTTTCGTAAAAAACAAACTATATGCAAACCATACGTTCTTGTCGCTTTAAAACTTATAGCAAAGTGGCTACAATTAATTTTCCAATTATACGAATTTAAAATTTATTACTTTATAAGACTCATTAACCAGTTATTTTAAGATAATGTCATAATAATATATAGGGTATTGGTTTGTTTGCTTTCATAATCTGATAGAGGAATATTTAATTGTAGGCACTTTGCATAAAAATTTCATATTAGATATGATTTTTTTGTGACACTATTTCACACTAAATTAACGTGTGCGTGTATCTACACTCTCCACTTCATGTACACTAAATATGGAACTATTTTCGGCTTTTTCTACACTCATGGCTATTTTTTTAGTTTTTATATAAATTTTTTGTCACAATTTAGCGTAGGTAGATTGTTATAATACAACTCTTTATTTTCGTTTAGGACATTTTCGATCGTTCAAATTGAATTAGTTGAACCCATTTGAAATTCGGGATATAGTCTTAAGTATATTTTTCAATACGATCGAGTTTGTAATAGGTGAATTTTAAAGAAATTTTTAATAGCGTCTTTAATGCACTTTACAATGTGTCAATTCTTGTCGAATGAGACAATCATGTCGGCTCTTCTCACTGAAAAATGAACATAATTTTTGAGTATTTCTTTTTATTCCTAATAAAATATCAAAATCAATCGTTATAAATACAGCTAATTAAAGTACAAATTAGTAACATGTTTAATTTTTTTAATATGCATTTTTTTTAATATGTATGTTGATTTTCCAGCAATAATTAGAGTAATTAGGGAGTGTAATTAGTAATTTAAGGATTGGACAATTCTTAAATTATTATATTTTACCTGCACACTATTTTAAGTTAGTTGTATTTAAACACGTTACAATTTGGACCTTATTCGTATTTAACTACAAGCTGCATTTAATGGATGCACCAAATTTTCAAAATTTATTAGTTATTCCTAATTTTTACATTAAAATAATTGAATAACCTGGGAAAATAGGTAAACGTCATTAAAATTTTGAATATATTCGTGCATGAAAATTACCAAGCTTTGTAATAAAAAATTAAATTAAAAAGAACACAATAAAACTTAGGTACTCTTGTAATAATACTAAAAAAACAACAATTTTTACTTTACTTGTTTTTACTATAAAATGAATAAATTAATGAAATCGAAAACTACACACAAAACTCAATATAAAATTTCTAAATTTCTTTCCGAAATACTATTATGTATGTACATACAGGGTGGCACATTAGTATGGAGAAGCTCAATAAATCTGTAATTGCAGAAGATATCAAAAAAACTTTAAAGTTTTTTCTTTCTTTTAAGTTCTAATTTTTTTAATTGAAATAAATCGAATAGTAAAACTTTAGGTATAGGAAATGGCTTAATAAGAATGAAAGTACTTAAAAAATACTTCCTGCTAACGATATAAAATATAGGGTGATCCATTTAAAAACCGGAGAAAATGTTACTTTTGGGTTTGGATCCATCATGTAAGCAGTATGAATTGAAGAAAAATATTCGTTTTGTACATTTTCAGCATATTTGCAATGTTGTCAAACCTGAAATTTATTTTCAAGTCAATCCATTTAGTTTCTACAGGGTAGTAAACTTAGTAATATTTTTGTTTAAAAGTGGTTATAACTTTTAAACCACTCAGTATAACATAATACAATATTATATTTTTGGAAAGCTGAAAACGAGCTAATTTCAATTTTTGAATGTGCTAATTTTAAAATGTGCAGATTAAAAAGATCTACAACTTTTGTAATGAAGTTTTTTTTAACAATAACAGTTTTCTTCTACAATAACAGATATATTGAGGTTTTCCATACTAATGTGCCATCATATATGTTAGTTGTAGATATAGTTTTGTGCGTAGATAAGCTCAATAAATTTGCAGCGAAAACAATTAACAAATCAACAAAAGAAATTACGAGAGGAGAATAATTAACCCCTACCTATATGTGACTGGTACGTGGATAACCATCGGTGAAAAACTGTGTTTAAAAAATGACATGACAAAATGTGCGAAGTGGTTAAAACTGAAACGAGCGAAAAACAAAAGTGTATCGGTACTCTCGTAATATTGTACGGTCTACCGATGGTAGAGGGTTACGTGAATTTAGGTTATAACTTGACGGAATCAAGACTGGCAGAGGATCCGCGACTAGACACAGCTATAGAGTGGGAACCACTAACCAGGGATGTCGTTCCGAATAATTTGTACCATCCTTCGACGATGTTTTTCAAATTGAGATCGTCCAACATTATTTGCGCCACCCCCATGAAGATCTTTTTACCCTCTAATCGGCCGTAATCGCCCCACACCGTTACCTGAAATCCAACGGAAAAACCTCAAATCAAATTCAACCAATCAACAAATTCGGAAATTAGTAAAAAAACGAATTGCGCGTGTGTTTATCTACTTACAAAATCAAGGTAATTGCTAGGATGCGATAACGCCAATGTCACAGTCATTAACGTTATGCATGAAGGTTCTTTGTTTGTATCTGAATCGTAATCGCCTGTAGATATAGCGAAAATTTAAATTAACCGTCTCATTATCAATTAATTTTTAAATAATTAAGCAAAACGGAGTATCATTACAATATTTATTGAAAATTATAACAATTGTTATGTTAAATACGTGTCATAAACGTTGTTAATTTACTATGAGAAATGAATAGTCCTTAATTAAAAAGTAATAGATTGTTTAAAAACTAATTCATTCAAAATAGAGAAAACTCAGTATATCCTTTGCAAAGTGTTTCATAAACTTAAAGATAAAAATTCTAGTAGTGGGTGTAGTAGATAAGTAAATAGTTTTTAGTGAAGTAAATTTTTTAATATTTTTATAGAAAACTTCTTCGTAAAACACAATATTTTACCTGCAGTATACATCCCTGAATATTTTCTTTAAAAGCTAATTGTTGCTGATACCAAGGATCTAAAGTTCGTCTAGCGGTGGCAGTTTTCGCTTTCGCTATGCACTTCTTACCATTCACTAAATACACTTTCACGTAAGGCGCTGGAACACAAGAGAAGATCAGTCAAAAAATTATAGTATTCTTATCTAATCTAATATATCAACTTGTTTAGACTTTTCTTTTTTTTTTACTTGACCATCTACATGTTCTAAATTTAGGTCAAATCTGGATATTTCATCCATCAAATACTACTTGATAAACTCCTATTTTAAATTGGGTAAATGCACGGTTGCACTAGAGGATTAGTAGTGTAATCATAGGGATATTTACCTGGCAGGACTTTCGAACCCGCCCTGGACTGTAGTTCCCTCGCCCGGACGACTTCGACCTCCAAAAAGCCCTTTTGATGGCAGAGCGCTAATTGGATATCTCCTAAAGACGGGGATCCCAAAACTTGCCGGCCGACCAGTTGTCCTGGACCTAAACCGTCTATGAACTCCGCCAGTTGACCCCCTTCTGCCGCTAACCGCAGCGAAGGTGACCATCTAACACATAAAGATTCACCTTATTTACTGCGCGCAAGGATGGGTAGTAGTAAACAACGAGAGAGGATCCTCTAAATTTTTCATTAAATGCAAGAATGGAATTGTTTGGTATAGAAGATTGTATATGCAAGAGGATTTTCTAACGATAACTATGGGATTTTTGTTGAAGTTGATACAAAATCTCATTGGGTTGTTTACTAACTACACATTCAATAAGTTATTAAAAACTTTTTTGTACTGCCCTTGTTTACTAAAACTTTGTTTTGGGTGGATTAAATGGACAAATTAAAGATAAAAAATTATTGAAGGTTGCAATTTGGTAAGGATAAATGTAAATTAGGGATATAATTTTGATGAGGCATCTTGTTGTAGATGAAGAATAATTTAGGGGTTAGTTTAGTATACAAGGGCTGCTTAAGAAGTAAATTCAGAAGCAAACACATAGAAGTACATAGAGAGAGAAAAAAATTGGGTTGACAGTAATCAAATAAAAATCTACGTGAATTATTTTTCGGTGTAATATACAAGAAACATACAAAGTCATCCGTGCCCTAAAACGGTGCTTCATTTATTACATGCAGAGTTTTTTAGTGATTTGTTTTATATGGACTAATTTCGATATTTAGATTAGAATTTCATTGTTATTTAATCTATCTTAGCAGTAATTGTATAAAAACATGCATACATACCACATATCCATAACTCGAGAAGAAGCTACATGATGCTTAGCTGAGATATTTTGCGTTGAAAACATTTTATTTCCATAAAAACATCTAAACATCAACAGAACACAATCTACAATTACAATAGTTTCTTTTTAAATGCGTTTTCAACACAACGATTTTCTATACATTTAAAGCATGTCACCAATGGAGTGCAAATATATGATGGGGCTCAAATCAGGTTGATAGCAGGCGGCTACTTACGAAGATCCTTCTGAACTAGATATGGAGTTGAGACTAGCGGCTCTTTGGCTCGAATCCGACGATCTAGTAGGTGCTGGTATACTAGGCACCACTTCCTGCGAACGCTGTATGCTGCTTACAGTCGTCGTAACCCGTTTTCTATTCAACCCACTCTCTGAGGCAATGAAACCGACAGAGCATTGAGTTGGTTGTTGATTTTTTTTTCAATAAAATGTAGGTATTGATCTTTGTTTAGTGTTAAGTGAATTGGTTTCTTATATAATTTTTTATAATAACGAAAAAATATTCAATTCATATCACCCAATTATTCTAATAGATATTGTATAAATATTTTTTTTAATTTAATGATTCGTATAATAGGGAAGTCTCCGTTTTACACGTTTATCCTTATTAGATTAGCGTTAGAAAATAAATGACTTCATAAACGTAATGCGATACAATGAAATAATAGGTGGGAAAAGCATTTTGAATTTTTAATGCCAAAAACTTGGTTCCCATTGGTTTTAAATGTTTGTACTTATTATAAATTTAACTCGATTTATTAACTTTATACGTATGTTTAATGAAGATTAAAATACAAGAATTAATAAAATATTAGGAATAATATTTTTGCATAATAAAATAAAATGCAAAATAGGTGTAGCTACCAAGAAAATCGGATAACTACATAATTGTCTAAAAATAGTCAAATGTAGTTAATAAAATTTTTAAATTATTGATTATTTTGAATAATTTTAAAAATTCACAGATCTTGAGGTAACTTTCAAACCCCATAAAACAAGTACATTTTATTTATAGAATAGAATACACAAACTCGACAAATACCAACTTAAATATAAATTTAATAACGAAATAAACTGTAACTACAGGAATAATGCACATGTTCAGCTCAAATAGGACTTGGAAGAGTTTGTGTTATTTATTCTAATGGGAAACAAGTTTAGAATAAAAGCAGAACAGCGTTACTAGTCACTACATAAATGCTATATTGAACAAGCACAATATTATTATGTCCTAAAGTAGAAAATCTCTAGTCTATTCGACTACACTAATGCATCTATGTCTACTGTCTATTCTCGGAAAAATGAAAATTTCTATTTTATCTATTTGGAAAATTTAGTCATCACTTGAAAAATCTTCATACTCACAGTAAATACAGTGTTTTGTATCGCTATGTTAAAAGACGTCTACTATTTTTATAAATCAAAACGTTAGACATTGTTTGATTACATATTATAAGTAGTATGTAAGTAAAATAGAAAAATAACTAAATATATCTCTCTATGTACCTATCTACGTGTTTGCTCTCGGGAGAGATTAGGACGGATCGTTCAAGGAATTCAAGGCACTAATTGATTAATTAATTTGGAGGGTATTAGGAAGGTAAAATTCGAAATAAATTCAAGACCTGTCGCCGTCGGCGGAACCTTCTCCGTCGCTGGACGCCGACGATCCCTGTTTCGACAGTCTAACATCTCCTGGTAATATTTCTTCCGATCTATGTACAGTAAACGACGTTTTTCCTCTCTTTCCGAAACCCATCCGTCGTTTGCGCCCTTAAGGATCAAAGGGTTAGCGGGACCAGAGCTTACACGTTAGTTTCAAAGATAGAGTAGAATTCTATTCTAACACTGAACTAGGACAGAGTAGTTTCGAAGCCGATACAAGAAAACGTTGTATTATTTATTAGTTATTAGTAAAAATAGAAAAAGAGCTAACAAGATTATAATGTGGAGTAGAAACAAAGTTGTGAAATAGAACTGAAATTAGGATGTATGAATGTAATGTATGGTTGATTTAAGGGTTGATTTGTAATGACTTTAATAGAATTATCATATTTTTCTGTAGTACAACACTTTATGATATTTCAGTAGAAATTTATAAATTGTTATAATCATTTCCAAACATTTTCTTGTCTCGGCCTCAGCTTGACGTTTACCCGAAGGTAAGAAGATCACATACAAATCGTTTCTAATGACCAAAGACGTACATTTAGATATGTAAATGATTGTTCGTTAGTCGAGTGTAACTCTCTCACCTGTTGCTGACAATTGGCTGGTCGAGTTGCTCTTCTTGCTCAAACCGACGAATTGGCCTTGCCGATCCCGGTCCCGTTCGCGGGGGCTCTCTTTTCGATTTATCGAGTCTTTTTGAGGAACTTCAAGACCATGTAGTTGGCCGACGGCTGTATCACTGAGGCTACCGTCTAAAAATATGATCTCCTTAAGTACCTAAGGTGGTGTATGGTTCGATTAAACTTACCGGTTTTTTCATCTGTTGGCGGTTCTGTATTAGACAAGCTTCTGGTAAACTGGCCCCTTTTGACGCTTCCTTCCCTGTGGTTATGATGGTGATGGTGATGATGGTGGTGGTTGTGGTTCAGGTGATAGTTGTGGTGAGGATCTAGAGGCTCTATGGTTTCCCGAGGGTCGTGGTCTCTTTCCCTCATGCCCCTCGAGTTTATAGTTCTATATCCGTATTCAGTACTACCAAGATCAAAGGACGCATCATTAGAAGCCTTACTAGCATTACTGCTTACATCTATGCTACATTTTTTAAATAAAGAAGCTGTTGTTAAATCCGAATCGGTTTTTGAATTATCGCTATCTACGGGGGAAGGTCCGTTCGCGGATATATTCGGGGAAATAAATATACATTTGCACTGGTGGTTATTCGAAACTTCAGCACAAACTTTATTTTTGCAACTGCAATCTAAAAAATCCGTGCTGAAACTTTCCCGGAAACTTTCGAACACATCGCTAGATCCATCACCGCTAAAAACGCCCCTGGTGCTTTTAATCCCGGGCTCTTCCGCGCGTTCGCTATTATTTTCCTCGTTTACAGGACGAGTTGGCAATAGCCTACGCATAGTTCGCGCCTCCCGGTGCGCTCTATCTACAGGGCGATAGCTCGTTATCGGAAAGAAAGTTACTGATTTATTAAGGGGTTTCGAATTTTTCGATTGGTTACTGTTAAAAGGGTTAACGTTAATTTGACGGGAAGATTGTATTTGGTTCCTGAAATGAGGTATACGTGAAATTTAACTTGAATTTGCATGTTAAATAAATTCGTAATTATTATAGTTGTACCTAATTTCGTTTGATTTTATTATTAGGAAAAAAATTTAAAATAATTACCCGAGTCCTCTGGTCCCCCTCGGTCGCTCCGATTGGGTCGAAAAAGCACTACTCGTCACAGACACTACACTTTCCATATCACTATCAAAATCAACTAATCCCAAGGGATCCCGTTCCCGTTCTTTCTCCGGCGAAAAGGACCTTCTAGTGCCGAACCTGGAATGATTGGCCAGATCGCTGTCACTCAACCCGCTGATTCTCCTCTCCCAGCCCGAACCTGTACTCCGATACGTGTGAACACCAAACCTTAAAGTTACAAAATTATAACACCCACACCAACATTTCTACCGCCTCCCGTACATACCTCATTCGATTCCTGTTGCTGTTGTACCCCTCGAGATCCTGCGACACCCGCTCCTGCAGCGCCCTGGCGAGCGCCTGCGGCACCTGGGGCAGCTGGCGCTTCTTCGGCGAGCCCGTCGGCGTCGCGGTGGCGCTGCGCGACTGGAACCTCGACATTTTGTACGTGGGATAGGCGTATTCGGTGAGACGGACGTCCGGAGGCGATAGCGATCGGTGGTCGGTGGCCGAGCGCCGCGGCGACTTCGATCGCGATCGCGATAAATGAACGCTAGGCGAGTCGCAAGGCGCCGCCGAGTGTGAACGGTGACTAATCATACCCACCTGCTGGTAAATTAATTTAATTAATATTAGGTGTGGGTTGTTAGCGTCATTATCCGCTCTATGTAATCTGTTATTCCTGCTTTAAGATAAGAATAATGACACTAAAATGGCAATCAGTGGGACATGTGAGACAGGATATAAGTGGATGACACAATTATTGTTACATGGGAGACCTCGAGAAACGAAAAGAAGTGTGGGAAGACTATAGAAAAGGTGTATAGACGAGGTGTATCAGTGGACGGATATATAAAGGATGAGAAAGAAGAAGAAGAAGTGGGTTGTTAGGATGTAACTCACTTTTTTACTGGTGCTGGTATTGTTGTACATGTGATATGCCTGCATGTTTTCCTGATCCCTTCTAGATCTCCTCTCCGTGGAATCCCTCGGTGGACTGGATGAACTGCCTACGCTGCTGACGCTGGCTCCATCTGCGTTTCTTCTATCCCGACCGCCCTCGATGTCGCATTCGGAGGGTGTATCGCTGTCGGAAAATCTGAAGCGTCAGAGAAATCACCATTCGTCATTATTGATTCACCACGTTTTCATAACTTATAGCAGAGTTGTTGAATGTAGAACTAACCTGGATCCGGTGCTGGGCGGAGATAGATGTTCGCTCGGCGTGAGGGCTATTTCTTCGTGCGGGCCCAGCGTCCTCCAGGTCGGTTGGTCGTCCAAAGGCCACAATTCTACGATAGCTTCGCCTAAAAAATCGTTTGCCCCGTATCTGACGTAGTCCCAAACGGTTATCTCTAGTACTCGAAGCCGGAGATCTGCCCTCCTGAGACCCGCGTATACGAAGGACTGGTTCCACATAGGCTCCGTTGTGCCTGAAATTAACGCAAAATATTCGTTTTATGCACAATTAGTTTTAACCTGCCTTGTTCTTCCACCAAAATTTAAAAAAATCGTTATTAAAATTTTGTAGGTAGTAGAAGAATTCATCACCCACATTTATAAAGTTTAATTACCCTCTGCAAGTTTTGTATTTAAAATAAATTGTTTTATTACCTTGTGATACTAGATATTCGTAATCATCAGAATATCTCAACATTTTATTTGTTAACACATTTTTATTATTCTAATGTAACCGGAAATTTAATAATAAACTTGCTCACGCTACTGCATTAATTAGCCAAAGGAAAAAACGAAATATTGTTCTGCTACCATTTATGAACTAGTGGAACAGACAGCAAGAAACATATTTATATTTGTAGCAGCTAACTTAGCAAAACTTTATTTTATTTTACGTTCGAATTGATTTATTTAATATAAAACTTCATATCTGGCCCGCTTCCAACAGCTTTAATACTATTCCAACAAAAACAAGGATCGCAAAAATGTGTAGAATTGATTTCTTACCATCCTATTCACCATATATAGGTTAGATTGCCAGATTAGCCCGAATAACAGGATCGAAAGGGAATTAGAAAAATTTTCAGGATAATATAAGGATTACTATATTATATTAATAATATTAAGTATTTTTCATTGCACAGTATAAGCTAATTTATTGCAAAAAATGTTTTGAGTAGATTGCGAAAAAAATAAAAGTATGACTCACCTGCCAGGGTTTTGGTCCTTCGCTTGCTCTTCTCCGACCGATCGGGCAACAAAAACAACTTACAATAAGGATTCCTCGATTGGTGCGAGGACCTCGGCGTTAGTCCGGAGGCGCAGACGATCGTGACGAGCAACTGCAACGCCGACGCGTCGAATTCGACACGCACTTGAATCCTGCCGCCGATGCTCGGAGCCAGCGCCTGCTGCGAGGGATCCTGGCTCCGGTCCGGACTGCCCGGTGACGTCACCAGGACGTGAGGACGTTCGTAGATTTCGGCGTCGGGATGCCACTGGTGAAGGCCGCCGACTGTCTGACCTGATGGGCAGAAGATAGAATGAATCGAGTTCCTTGAATTCCGCGACGCCGAAAATCGGGAACCGAGTTATTTTACTTACACCAGGACTTATAATTACGGAATTTCAACTGAAAATTATTACTTCGCGTGGTAATTGTTTTTTAATTAAGTTCCTCCTGGAAAACTCGATTTTTTATAACTGCCTTATTCGTATATTAGGGTAGAGTAATTTCAGCATTTCGATGTATAAATTATAATCTTATCAACTAAATACATTAACACACATATACGCTAATAAATATTAAACGACACAACAATACACAAAACCATATAAAACGTATATAATAAACAAATAAATAATCTATAACCTAAGTTCTAAACTAAATTGAAAATTTTTAACGAGTCCGAACACTCAACACACTCAAGTTGTTGCTCCCATTGAAGAATGAAACTTAACCAATGGCGTACCGGTGCATTTAGAGTTTATTTACATTATCGATTCGCAGGGACACCACTGGTGAAAACATCAAAGAGTATAACAAGAAGGAAAAAGTGCACGGACACACCAACACACGAAAAGGAAAGAGAAGAAATTATCTAATTTTGTGTATTGTGTTATTTGTGACGAATGTTTACAGTGTGTTCTTGTGCTCTACAGTAGAAAATCGAAACGTTCGAATCACTAGAATCCGATAAGTATAACTACGTTCCGATGATCAGAACGTTTCCCCTCTACAAGAAGACATAGCGTACCTCTATGAGCGACTGATTGTCTCCAATTGGTTTGAGCTATTCGCCTGCTGCCCATACTTCTGGATACTATGAGCTCCACGCTAGCTTCTTGTCTACTTTCAGCGATTATTTCCGCCACTTCTTGAGTGGTCTTACCCTGTAACGATCTACCGTTCCATTCAATCACCTCGTCACCTGGAAAGAACGTTTCGAATAATTTCTTTCGAGGTGATTAGAAGTAATATGCAACTACCCAAAAGAGTGCCGAAAGTTTATACACGAGGTTAATACTGGGTGTAGGTGGTACTCACCAGGTCTTAGGTGTCCCTCAATGTCGGCGACGCTGCCTTTTTTGACCTTTTCGATAACGGCGCCGGTCATGCCGTTTTCCAAAATTTTACCGCCGACGATTTTTAGGCCTAAAATGGCGGCGCTGGATCCGGTCGTCGCGTCCCTCGAGTTCCTCCTCAAGATCATGTGGCCGATAATTCTGGTGCCGTCGGCGGACACTTGCCACGTCAGCGGATGCTGTTCGGAAAAGTTGCGACATTACGATACATCAATAGGTGGGAAATTAGTGATTAAGATCGATGCATGCAGTTCGTGCGAAGCCCTTCAAGCGGTGTCGAGAGTTGTCAGTTTGTAATGAGTATTTTCCCTTATGGTATATCCAATAATTCCACGAATTTTAATGTGTGTAGGGAATCATTATTATCATCAAAAATCGATAATTCTAAATAGGTATCACTAACTATAACTTTGTAGCAAACAAGTAGAAATCTACCTAGCCTCTATTTAAAGGAACATGTAAATGCTTTTGTAGGGAAAACAAATCGAAGAAAAGGATTGAATGCGAAATTGGATTGCTTCCAGGAATCTCGGCCAGAGATACAATGTATGATTACTGAAAGATTTTGGCCGATGTTTACAAGATACTTTGTAGGAGCAGATTTATGAAAATCGGGGAACAAACATGATTAATGACCCGCAAAGAATTTAAAGCGTTAATAAAATTTAATGAACGTTTTATTTTCATAGTAAAAAACGTTATTCGGATACGTACGTACTTAGTAAGCAAAAGGGATTAAATGAAAGGATTATCGGCTATAATTGTAGTTTTTTTTACTTGTTGTGTTATGTAATCGCCCAGTATAAATGTGGTAAAACAGTTACGTAAATGTTATAATGCTCTACGTGTTATATTCCATGCCTAGGTGGATTACACAAAGCTGCACCCTCAGAACATTGCAAGGTAAACAGCTATATTGGAAAATACCCGCATGGAAAAAGATTCAATAAAAATCACGGTCTAATTTAAAAATTTCGTTTCGAGTAGAATTTTTACGAAACAACGATTCAAAAAATCAAATGACATTAAAAGCGATAACAGTCAACGCAAAGCCATCCAATGCCAAAATTTATAAACAAATAGAAACCATGCTTTTGTACAAATCGATTCAGGGTAATGCGTAAAAATACCAACAACTGGGACTAAATTGAATGAAACATGAAAATTCAACATTTACAAACACAATGATTTATCAACAATTTCCGATTAAATAAATTTTATACTGCTAGTATACCTATAACATTTATTTTACTATTACGAAGCAGCAATTTTTAACATTTTATACAAACTGAAAATCATTAGGCGTTTTTAATTTTGATTATCTCCTTGAATATACAACGATTCCTTTGATTCGATATAAAATAAAGATGTTTCCCTACGGTGCGTAGATAAAAATTTAATTTTCTTCTGCTTAAATAGCAATTTTTGGCTTCTGGTAAAAGTTTACTATTTACATGTAAATTCGAAATGCAGAAAAAAATATATTTTTAATTTCTAAAACTAAAATGCTGCAGCTACGTTACAAGAGCTCACAAACAACAATTTTATTTTCGTCTAATGAGACTTCAAAAATTCTATCCAACAAAAAATATGATCTAAAATTAAACTATTTTCAAAAACATTTTTTAAATACTAATAATATTCTAAATAACCCTATTTATTTATTAAAACAGAAAACTAAATAAAAACTAATTGACTTCAATTAAATTGTAATATTGCACCAACTTAGATCATTTTGTCAGCTCTTGTTCCTTGTGGTGTAAGAACTTGATGACGTCATGAAACTCTTAAATTAAATAAATTATGACGTCACCAGGTCTCCTCTTAAATACGATATACGTTAAAGCACCTTGGGCAAGTCCCCCCTGGTTGAATCCTCGCTAGAGGTGAACGTGGAAGACGTATCGATTCCAGAATCTCTGTGAGAATCTTGGGAACCTTGTCTGCTACCGTCATGGTGATCGAATCGTACGGTTTTCTTTCTTCGCTCCGTGAATCCTCTATTATCTGCCGTTACGTCTTGTAGAGGTCTATGCTGATGCATTGGTGCCACAATGTAGTGACTCAAGGGGGGCCACGTGCCGTTATTACCTAAACATTTTTAATTTGGAAGAGAGCTAGGTTTGGTATATTTTATGATAATAACTACATGTGTGTATACCATATTAATTTTGCCATATTTGAGGCACAAGTAATTAGATATCGACACCTAAATAAACATAATACTGGATACGCTATGAATAATGTAGTAATTGGTATGTTTCTAAACCAAACCTATCCCTTTCGGCGAACAAAACCCAAATAGCAGAGGTCGATGATTTTTTACAAATAAAATATATTTCCATAGACTCATCCAAGACAGAATCAAGAAAAATAGACAAATGCAAGAATTATAGAGAAAAATAGTGCTCAAGCTGCGTGTAGAGACACCGTCATGCTATATCGAAAAAATTAAACAAAAACCACAACACTGAAAAGATTGTCGGAAAATAGACCAAATACGTGTAGGTATCGCAAATAAAAATAACACTCATTGCTTTTATGAGCGATTTTTACGTTCGATACAACTCAATCCAGTCAATTAGGTGGCATTTTGATCTTTTTCCTCCAATCCGTTTGTTTCAAATTAAATTCGTTTTGCAGTAGCTGGCAGGTCCTCACCGCTAAAAATGTTTTTATTCTCTCATCTAGAATCGCCTGTCGACTCAAATTATCTGTTAATTTTTCCCTTTCTCGAATGCCTGGAAATTGCAAAATTGACTTCAAATTGTTTAAAGTGAGGCAATTTTGATTCGAAGTTTTAAAATCATCAAATCGTTCGATTAGCTTTACAATAAAATTAAACAATTAATAATTTATCTGCACTAGAAATCTATTGAGCCTCTTGTTGTGAAAATGGTACACGATATGAATATTCTTCATAAACTATTGATGAAACAAAACTAAACGTTTTAATAATTTTCATTCATTAATTCTTTATCTTTTTTATTTCCCATTATTAACAAGAAGAAGTAAATTTAGGGAAAAATATGTCTAATAATATTAAAAAGTTAATGGAAAAATATCCGATGATCTTAAAACTCTCGACAAATTCAGATTAGGTACACCAAGAATTGTTTACCTTAATTTCTTCGCTTACAAAACTTTTATCCATTACAGTACACAATCCGCGAAATCTTTTTCATACATATTCATGTCCCACAAACTATTCTTCGTTAATCCAAACATTTACCAGCAAATTTCATTTGCAGAGTTTATTTACCGACTAACTATAAACTTGGAAGAAGAAAAGCACATCTCAACTTAAAATCGAAAACGTACCGAACACATTTTGGGAGCAACAACTTCAAGAATTCGATTATAATTTATAATAGTCTAAAACTAGTTCTAATCGTCTAATTAAAGCTAAGTCGGGCTTACCTTTTTCGCTGTCCCTTTCATCGCTGCCGTATTCGGGCGTCGACTTGAGATCCTCTTCTGAACTGGAATAGTTCGGAAGCTGGACCTGCGGCGGAGGGTGCTGCTGATGTTTCTTGGACGAACCGCTCCGTTTGTGTTTCTTATTGGCGCTGGCCATCGGCTGCACCCGGTGCTGCGAGTGGTCCATCTGGACCGGATCCACCTCCGGCTCCGGATACCTGCTGATCCCAACAATCATAAATACCGAAACCAAGAAATCCGAGGTTGTTCGCTTACCTTCTTGGTACTAGATGCGGGTGCGTCCTCATCAGTCCTTCCAACTCTCCTTGATAGAACCTCGGGTCGTCCTCATTGAACTGCTGGAACCGTTCGCATGAGGGCGCCCGAGGTTCTTGCTCCGAGTACTGGCGCCGTAACCCGCTGCCGGACCTCTGCAGCGGCTGGTTCTCCTTCTCGGCGGCCGAGTGGGCCCTCTCCAGTTTGGGTCGTTTGTCCGACGGCGCTTGTTGCGTTTGGGGGATGTCCAGCTCGGGGTTCGTGCCGCCGAACATCCACTGGCCCGTCTTGCTCAGCAGCTCCTGCTTCTTTCGACACAGGATACAAATCCAAACCGTCTGGAATTAAAGAGCATAGAATGTAATTAGCAAAATATCTCAAAAACTGCAGAAGCTACAAAGAAAAAAACCAAAAAAATCTTGAAATTTCAACACCCTGTAGATCGGTAATGAAGCATTTGCGGACCCACGTTTATGAACTTTCAGTCATAAAATAAGCCAAGGAATCACCCACTTTTGGATGTACACGATGTTTAGAAACACACTGTATTGAGGTTCCGAAATATTAAAAATTATTGTTTTTTTATTCATTTAATTTTACACAAAAAAAGACATAATCTTAATTGATTTTACTTCAATCTGGATTTCTGTAATATTATTATTTTTCTCGATATTTAAATAGAGTTACCGGATGATTAAGAAATTTATTAAAACAAAGGTTTTTTTTTATTAGAGCTTAATTGTGCGTCATAAAAAGCTGTCAGAGAAAACAAAATTACCGATAATCATATCAGAAAATGCGAGTGCTCGAGTGCGTGCGTCATACGAGTATATTTTCGTGAATGAAATTAAACTTATCAAACAATCGGATGGAAAATGAATGAAAACCGTTTTTGCACAATCTCGGTCGACGTCACCAAAGAATAAATATGCATTGGAAATTAGACAGTGCGATAGAATTTCTCGATGAAACGGAACGTTTGTTTGACGCATTCCGAAACGGAAAACTCCCTCTCATACGGTCAATTTATAAAAAAAAACTCGGAAAACCGACGAACTTCGTAATGGCTTAACGCGGGCGCGACAATTTCGTCGCCAAAGAAAACGGGCGAGAAACTTTTCGCCTTTCCCTTTACCTTATTCGATCGCAGGGTAACTTTTCCTCCGCATCGGGCGCAACACCTGATGGAACAATAGTTACAAATGTGGCCCACACCGTCGGCGAACTTGGTCTTCAGACATATGTGGCATGTGGCGTCGAGCTCCACCCCCGCTTTTTTCTGTTGTTCGTTGCGGGCGCGAATCGTCTCTTCTAAGATGTGAACTTCGTCGGCTTTCTTTCTGCGGCAAAATAAGAAATTTCAATTTCCTCTATCTAAAATATATCTCCTATCTAAATTTAATTCATTCGCCTCCCACATCGGTAGCAACGTGTATGAAAGAAGAACAATACTAGAAAATACTACATCTTTAAAATATATCGAAAATTATAAAACATTCATAATTCAAAATAGTTAGCTAATTCACCTCTGCATATCTGCATTCCTTTATAAACAAAAATTAATTAGGTATTTGCTTACCAGAAATTGTTCAGAGGTTTACTGCTTTAATTAGTGTTACTTTTTCAACATACAAACCGACATGGGAAAAACTTCCGACTGGCGGTAACTTTTCTATAATGGAATTAGCGATTGAAAATGAGATTATACGTAGGTATGTATAGTTAGAAGAAAAAGTTCGAACATGAGAATCCGTTCGAGCTGTTTTAATTCAGTGGTGTAACTAATACGATAGTACCAAACCAACACATTTTAATAGAATTGTAAAAAAATGTTTCAAGAATCTTTCGTTCTTTCCTTATTAATTTAGGCCTAGTATATTTTGTATAGTTTGTATAAAATAGGATGAAAAGGTATGATTAAATTAAGCACTAGAGATGCTCTAATTAAAATGTTAATGGCCTCATGATTATGCCCAGTCACATCAGCAGCTTTTTTAAATTCAAAAGCAGGGGAACAAGATGCTTGAATAATTGATACAAGTAGGTACACTCTTAAGCTCGTAGATTATTAAGGTTTTTATTTTCAAAATTAATAAATTATAAAGCTAAAGCATCGTACAAACTAATTTCATTAATTAATAAATATTTTAAGCATGCCAAGGGTTTACAAATTATATATTAGTAGGTTAAATAAGAGTTACAATTCGCTATAAATGGAAGTTAATTAAAGAGAAATATTTGTATATTGCCTGTAAACGACAAATATATTTCGAGTAGAATATGAAATACAGACAATCCAATATATTTAATCAATGCATTATAGTGGCATATGTGATGAAATTTGTTCGAGATAACAAGAATTTCTTAATTAGTGCTTATATGAAAATTATACGCCAGCGCATTTGTAATTATTTAATTGAAATTCTCGTTTAAAGCTTCAGAATATTATATCCACGAAGCGCTGTCTACTTCTAATTTGAATAATTAGAGTGTATTTTCAAAAAACTATAGTTGCATTATTAGGAAATGCTGTCGTATTCAAATTAAGTGAGACAAACTTTTAAATCTGAATTTAGAAAATAATGTCGCATATATTTAATTGCCATTTTCAGTTCAGAAATACAATATTTAGCAGTTGAAAATGCTAAATTTACAAAATTTCAAGAATTTACAACGAGGTTTCTGACATAGTTTATAATTTAAGAACAAAATCATTATCATTCATTTCACTTTGTGATGAAAAATCAATTATAACTATGTATAATATAGAATCCTAAATTGTATTCTCGTAATTTATAAAAAAAATTGTAATAAAGACTAAATTTTTACTAAATTCGAACGATGTACAAGGCCAAAATTTCAGTACCTATTAAAAATTGACAAATATATCATTCAAAGCTTTTAGAAATTGACAAATTACCTAAACAGAAACTGATCAATCAAATCAATAACATATTTAAATGAAAGCTTACTACGTTCTTTTAACCCCAGCGTTCTTCTGCATAGTGTCTTGTAAGTTAAGAATAATATTGAGTCTAAGCATTATTTAGATGTAAATTAACTTTGTTGGATTATTTCGAAGGTGCTCCATATTGCGGCCCGGCCGGAGATCGCAGCGGCAGCGACAAAGCTCGTGGTCAGCAGGCTTCAAATATAGCCCAAAAGGCAGCCCAAGAAGCCAAAGCCGCCGAGGATGCCCAACAACAAGCGGGCCAACAAGCAGCCCGCCAAGTTAAGGAACAACTGGCTGAAAAAGCCATGGAAGCCGCGAAGGCAGCCGAAGCGGCTCTCTCAGGCAAGGAAGCCTTAGTGGAGCAGCTTCAAGAAGAGATCAAAGAAGCCGAAATGGTCGTTAACGAGGAAGGTTCGAGTATGCAACAACTGCAACAAACCGTCCAATCGGCCAATAAGGCCGCTCAGCAAGCCCAGGCGGAATTGAAGCTGCTGCAAACCTCGTTCCAATTGGCCCAAGGTAACGCAGCCAATGCTCAACAGGCTTTGGATGGTATAACAGCTCAGTTAAACGAAAAAGAGCAATTGTTGGATGCTGCTCGAGCGAAACTAGATCAATTGAACAAACAGGTGCAAAGTTCCAAAGTTGATTTGGCTAAAACCAAGGATGCTGCCAGGAAAGCGGAAACTTCCGCAGCCGAAGCTAAACAGAACGCGTCAAGAACGAAGAGAGAAGCGATAAATTATGCAGTGAATAATATACGAGAAAAAAGGAATAATGATTCAAAACAAGGGTAATTGTTCGGTCTTTTACACATTCATTTATTTTAAGTTATCATCTTTTTTTTTTGTAAGCAGTATAAATATTTGGCAGTTATTAAATTGAACTCGAAGTATTGATGGTTATTAATTAATAAATGAAAGTGTCTATTTGTGTTTAAAATATTCTTTTTTAAATTTGAATTAATGTAGTGTGCATATTCATGTATGTGTCATGAGGTCGAATTAGCTAAAAATATTTTGTCTATTTTTTTAACATTAAATCAATATGTACTAAAGCATCAAATTGCATTCAACATATTGGAACATCTTTAAATAATCATTAATATCGCAGGCAATTTCGATTTCTTTCTGATGCAATGTTAAAAACATTTGATTCTCTGCAGAAATTTGATTAAATTTCAGTGATACTTATCAAACAGAATTTTGATCATGGCATAAAAACAGATGAGTTTATCTACACAAGGACGAAATGAGTTGGTTGAAAACTAAATAGTAAAAATTGAAAATATCTGTTGCCTACCTCAGAATCTCCTGTTCTCTCTCCTCCTCCTGCTTTTGCCTCATCATAACACCCTCGATGATGGCCCTTTCTTCTGGTGTAAGATGGGACAGATCGGGCCCCGTATTCTCCATGCTGGCCTCTATCAGGCATCACCCATCACAAAAAAACTACCCCTTGGCGAGCGCCCGAACGAAACACCCCGTCATTTTACATCCAGCACTCCAATTAGCAAACGTTCACCGAAAAATTAAGATGTGGTCGCCTCGCGCACGATTTCGCAAAATTGTTTTAGGTGTTCTTTATTGAGATTTGGGACCGAGTATCGCGGCTGGTATTACCCATTCATACGCTTTTCATAAATAATGGGAAGAATAGGCGGAAAGCCAATGGGAAACGTCGACTGGGTTACGTCACCGGGAGGGATATTGATTGGAGGGTGGCGGCTGCGCGACGACGGGCAGGATTGCGCTGTCATTATTTGGAGACAGGCCGCCGCTGTCCTGATGATCATCCCGAGGGGCAGAGGGTGGGCGGATTCGATCTGCGATCGCTCTGAAGAGGGAACATTTGAATGAAACTTCAATCCCTCCAAATCTTTATCTAACCAATAAATGTTGATCTCCAACCGGTTAATTATTTTTTAAATGCATGGTATTAACCAAGAAAATATATTTATGTATTTACCTGCAGATATAGTTATTGAGAAAAAAATATTTATAAGCATTCCTAATTAATATTGTTTTTTAATCATTACCTATTATTTTGTCCTCCAAATAAATAGTAGAGCGTAATAACCTGTAATTGAGTATTTTTTACATTTGCGAGATGACCGTTACTCAAAAAAATTTCAATTTTTCAAAATTTAGGTCACTGAATAACTTATTCGTATTAGTCCTCAATTTCTTACCGAAAATGAAGACTTTTTTCACATTCAGAACTGTCACTTGTCGATGTAAAACATAACCTCAATTATTAATGTTGTTGCTCGTTTGTATAAATTTTAAATTACTTCTTCATGATGAGCGAAGAGGAAACTTTAACCGATGACCAACCAACTAGTAGCAAATCTGTAAAAAAACCTCCCAAAAGAGGTATCATATATCTATCTACAATACCGCCATATATGAATGTTTTGAAAATTCGTGAAAAGTTTAGCGAATACGGTACTGTTGGTAGAATTTACTTGCAGCTCGCTGATAAAGGTAAGCAAATCGCAATAATAATACTTACATAAAATAAATACACATACGTTTTAACTTTAGATGTACCTGAGAAAGGAAAAACCAAGAAGAAACGAAAAGTAGCCAAAAAATTTACGGAAGGTTGGGTCGAGTTCGAGCGAAAATCAGTAGCCAAGAAAGTAGCAATGTTCCTAAATAATTCGCAAGTTAGCAATAGGAAGAAATCTAAACAATACGACCATATGTGGAACATAAAATATTTATCGAATTTCAAATGGACGCATTTGAATGAGCGGTTGGCTTATGAAAAAGCAGCTAGAAGACAAAAGCTGAGAGCAGAAATTCAATTAGCCAAGAAGAAGAGCAATTTCTTCACAGCCAACATAGAGAAATCGAAGAAAAAGAAAACTGTCGTTAATAAAGAATATGAAAATATTGAAGATAAAGAAGACAAACAAATGGAAGTTGAAAGTACAGATGAACAGGACGACCGAAAAGAATTTTTACAATCACTTTTTGTTTAAAATGCACACCGTTATAAGATATTAGAGAAGTTGAATAAATTTAAGTTTATTTTATTATCTACAAGTCTACATTATTAATTATTGCTTAGCAACAATTTTATCCTCTTGATTACTGCTTGGTTTAGTATTTCTACCGATAATTTTTTCTCCATTTGATTCTAAAGCGAAATTATAATCGACTGGATTTGCTAGAGCATATTCAATTGCCTTGTCCAGCATATCAGGAGTTATAATTGTTTTGCATTCTTCCTTCTCCTTCCTAACAATTTCTTCAATGGCTTCCTGTAGTTCTTGCGCCTTCTTCTTTTCTAATTCTATACGATTTAATGCAAAAGTTACTTCCTCCTCATGCTGTTTGGCAAAGAATTTCTCTCTTCGCTCTTTTTGGTTCTTGTTCCATTGATCATTAATGGCTGAGCATCTTTTGAAATCCTCTTCGAACAGTCTCCTACTTTCTTCCGGATCTTCGCTGGCCTAAAATATTTTGAAGTTTACCACGATTTTACAAGGAGTATTTAATTAGAAAGACAAACCTCCACAAATTCACTACTGTGATTAACGATGAAAAAGTTTCTCAGAGACTTCATTGTAGTTCTGTAATTGTTAAAAATTCGCAAAAGTTCCATCCTTTCCTCTTCGGGCTGATTGGGTCGTTCAGGAATCCTGAAAAGTTTACTTTTCGCTGTACCCAAGTGGATGGGTTTCCTTTTCCGGAAACGCACCAATTCGTATTTGGTGAAATTTACGGCTTCATATTTGGATAATAATTGTAATTTCGGTACGATTTTAAACATTTTTAGGAATATAAAATACTAAAAATTATCAAATTTAGAACATAACCTATTTTTATTTCATACTTCCATACGTCAATGTCAAGTTAACTGTCAAAATAGCTTGCGTGCTCGAAATCACTCTGCTTAACATAGAGGTGGAAGTGGTGCAATTTAAAGTGTCTTTAATTCAAAGTATTTAAATGTACCTTACATTTTTATGTCTTACACATTTTCTATGTTATATTTACGATATGCCTCATTGTAATTTGACTGTAATTTTTATTTTTAGTAACATCTTGTAATTTTGTAAGTAATTTCTTGTAAAATTCAATCAATATTTGCCCTACTTTCTCCCAGTAATCCAACATCACTTCAGTTTTGACAAGTGACACTGTTGACGTTGACTGAAGCGTTTAAATTTCAACTTCAACCACAAACAAAACAAACCGTTAAAGTTTCAATCCCAATCAAATCAAAAAAGTTATTTCTTTTTTAATTAAACATATTTTAACTCGTTTATTCCTTATCATTATAGTTAAATAGTTCAGTTATTAGTGTTTTTAAGTGAGCGTTTATCCTATTTTGTTAAAAATGAATGTTACAATCACAGGAATTTGTTACAATGCCAGTTGAATTTTAATAAGTTTAATTATGTCTATTAATGTGCATGTTAATGGTAATCCAATTAGCATAAAAAGGGGCAAAATGGTGACATCGGATTTTGACCAGTGTAAAAAGGAGTTCGAGCAGAGACGTCTCATGCGTTTGGAACAAGTAAGACAGCAATCAAAGGATATAGCCGAAGGCCTTCGAAATAAAGTTAAAAAGGAGAAAAAAATGCAAAAGAAAGAAATAGAAGAAGAGGGTAAGCAAAAATTAAAAAATTGGCAGACCAGGAAACTATTAGAATTGCAAAATCAATATCAAGACGCGCTGAAGGAACTTGGAGTAGGGCATAAAGCTGCACAAACTATAGGTAATTTATTTTATTAAAAATCACACCATAATCACTTATAAAATGTACTTTTGCAGGAGACGAAACTCAGTTTCTTGCAGAGCAAGAACAGATTAATCAAAAAACAGCTGCTAAACGGAACAAAGTAGCTAGCGGGAAATTGTGCGAAGATAAGGTTAGAGAAGAAGTAGAAAAAGCAAGGTTGATTGAACGCAAAAAGCTCGCAAGAGAAATGGAGAGCGCTCAAGCACGATTAATCCAGAGTCCTAAACCCAAGAGACCCAGAGTGAAGGAGAAGAGCCACAAATCCGAAGACAATATAAATGTAACGCTCTATGAACCAGAAGAAGAAGAAGAAGAAGAAGAAAGTGTTGAAAACGAGAGCAATTCTACTGTAACTGAAGAAACTGGAGAAGTTGATGAATCTTCAACATGTTCTTGTTTTGCAGGAGACTCGAGAACAAGCCTCGATTATATAGCAGAAGGTTTGTTATTAACAGTTATAAAAAATTAAATAGACATTTATTCAAAAGTACCACTAAAATTATAATTTTTTTAAAAAGTGTCGATGAATACATTTGGGTATAAGATTGATCAATTGCCTCTTGGGAAATAAAACATGTGGTCCTTAACTAATTAATATTTAATTCTGATATCCAATACAGAAATCAATAATAGCTGCCCAGTTATTACTCCAAATCTATTTTAACAACTTCCATTCACGTGAAACTATCGCATTATAAGGCTGTTCTATTTAAAGCAGTTAAAATATAAATGTTTTTTATAATCCATTTAAATCTTACCAGTAAGTTTTTTATTATATTACTTAAAATATTTATCGAACTATCTTTCAGGTTCAAGAAGTGAGGAAAATCCACCTCCAATAGTTCCACCACTTCAGCTCCCTCGGGAAGAATCTCCTCTTTCTTTTCCTATAAATGCATCAAGAGAGCCCAGAGCATATCAAAAATGTAATCCAACGTTTGATACAAGAATCTCCGATAGAATAAAGCACAGAACTGGTTTTTACAACAACAAAAGTCCGAATCCAACGCAAATACCAGAAGTAGAAACCCGTTCTAATGCAAGGGACTTGAACCAATCCAAAACAAAGCGAAATGATTGTACTTGTTGCTGTAAACGTCGAAGCAAAAGCCCTCGGAAGAGGATATTGAAGCAAGATAAGCAAGTAGCAACAGATTTCAAGGAGAATCACGGAACCCAAACTTCCGAAATTTTCTTACCCTCTCATCCATCAGTTGTAATAAGAGATCAGCCATCAAAGTCTTCTCTACAAGATTCGGCGCTGTTGGGTAGTAAAGTTAAAGTTTACGATCATAAAAATAGATTTGTGAGCGAGAAAAGTTTACCTTCTGGTTCGATGGTGGAAAAAATCCCTCCGGAAAGCCTCGAGTTGTTAATCGATCCTGTTTCCGAAGATGATCGACAGGAACTGCATAGGAAACGAGAAAGAGACGCGCAAATAAGAGGTAAAAAGGCGTTAGAAAAGGAAAGGTTACAGAAAGAATACGAAGAAATGCTCAAAAAGCTCCCATTGTTACAAAAGAAAGAACGAATATGCGAAATTCGAAACGACAAACCTGAATATCACATGTCCGAAGAGCGATTAAAGGAAAGAGAACGTGCCAAACAAAATCACTTGGAAAAAGTTTACAACAATCTCTTCCCCAATATTAAACCAGCCACTGTAACTCTTCCGAAAGTCAACCAACCGAGAAAGGAAAATTCCATCGAAAGCGTGTCGGAAACTTCCATTCGTTCCCTGAACGTCGCAGAATGGGACGTGGACAAACCACCGCATCAGTTTTCTTCACAAGAAGTCCAAGATATCATCAATGCATTCACGAGAATCAACCCGAAAGATCGAAGAGCCAAGCTAAAAGATTTACTGAAGACACTAAACATAAAAAAGGAAGAATTATTACAAGCTATCGTTTCGTTGCCGAAAACCGACAGTCTCGATGAATTGATCAACGATTTAAATTCGCTTGACGATTACGAAGTTAGAGGCAAATCGAAATCGCACAAGTCCCCTCGAAAGCGCAGTCGCCGAGAGAATACCGCCGATACGTCGTTCGAAAGCAGCCAAGAAGCACCGAACAGCGTTAAAGAGGAAAGCGCCGGTCGTGTTAATGGAAAATCGCCTAGAAAAAAGGCTAAAACAAAAAGAAGACCTAACGTTATTATCTTACAAAACACCAGCACCCAGACTACACCGAAACCTTCGAAACCTGCTACGGAAGAGACCAAAGCAGCTGACTCGAGTAAAGAAAAAATTTGTGATAAATTACACGTACCTTGTGATTGTAACAAAGAAAATCAAAACTCGACTGATGATATGTGTCACATTTTTATCAAGCTCAATGACGATGATGTTCCAGAGGTTCATGTTAAGTCTAAAGATAAAGAAAGAGCTTCAAAACCTGCTAGTGTTCGATATAGCACTGTTGGAACTCAGATATCTCCCGAGAAGCAAACGAAAGATGTTAGAACACATAAAAAATTGACGGAACCTATGAAATCCCACAGGTACAAATCGAGGGCTCCCGATCAAAGATCGAATACCACATCTCGCACGTGGAGGGACGAATTAAGCAAGAATTCAATATCCACCACCAGTACTTCTTATATGAGTCCACCGGATTTTCAAAATACGAAAAAACCGAATTTAAGATCGAAACCGCACCAAGAAACGTTATCTTCTGCTTACAGTTCTTACTCGAGACAAGAACAGTCTACAGATCCTATAAAATCGTACGTTAAACATCTATTGAGCATGTCGAAGGGCGCTGTAGATAATCTGAGCATATCGACAAGCAATGTGGACACGCCTAGCCAAAGTATAATCGAAATGGAAAGCAACGTTCCCAAGTACGATTTGAAGCAACTGGTGGAAACTTTTAAAGGCAAAATCGAAGAAATAGAAACTCGTTTGAAACATCCAACAGCTATCAACGCGTCTTCTTTCAACACCACCGGTTCCACCGTAGATTCTTGCAATGACCAAACCTGCCGTCCTACAGCACCTGTCGCTATCAACGACGAATTGGTGAACAAGTACGCGGAAATCTCCGATTCCGTTGCCAAGAGAATCGAAGCCCTGACTAAAATGATCGAGAATTTGCGACACGAGAAAACCAAGATACTCAGAGACACCAAAACCGCGGATTTTTCAACGGCTTACATGGATCTACCGGAACCTAAATCCAGTAGCTCGACCACGAGCTCGAGTAAAAGCAGTAGCCTCGACGATGAGGACGTGGGTAGAAGGCTCGTAGAAATCGATCAAAGCGATTTAGATAGATTAGAACAGTTAAGAGGCAATTCTAACGAATGTGATGGTAAGTAAGAATGTTTAAAGTATATTGGGTTTAGATTCTATATTAATGTTACTTTACAGGCCCATCGAATCGAGGTGCAAGGCACCTAAACGAGACTAACGAAGAGATTTTGAGCAGATTGCAGCGCTTGAAAGAGCACGAACAGCCATCTACCTCGAAGGAAGAACAATCTTTTGTGCCTATTTTGTCGGACATTCCGAGATTGCCGAAATTCGAGCCGCAAAACGAAGCGAACGCAACCCACAGGCGTCCACCGCCTTCCAAAGGTTTAGCGGCCGCTAAAAAATTCAACGGTAACATCTCGTTGAATCCCCACGAATTGTCCACGATCGTCGAAGCCGATAGCCAGCTGTCCACGAAACTTCCCTCTCCCGAGACGTCCGGCAACAATTTGAACGCTCCTCTCTTGACCATTCCGGAAATCGACTTGGATTCGGCGAGCGGAATGGCCAGTTGCAGAGACAAAAGCAAATCCAGCAGCGGGAAGGATTACAAAAGCGGCAAGGATTACTCCACGAGCAATAAAGATGATAGCATGAAATCTTGCGAAGAGTTTCCCAGCTCTATCCTACTACCTTCATCGTCTTCTTCATCTGGAAAGAAGAAAACGCGCGATGATTCCACATGTGGTGCAATCAGTTTTCAACAATCTTCATCTTCTAGCGACGACGTAGAGAGTATCGAAGCTATGTTGAGAAGCATAGGAATGGAATGGGCTATACCGACGCTGTACAAGACGCAAGAAGCTCTTGCTTTAGGTTCGAGCAGTTCGAGTTCGCTTGAGTTGAGTAAGAAGAAGGGAGAGGCCGGAAGCGATATTAGCCTGAACGAGTATTTGAAGAAGAAAATTTTGAAATTACCAGCGAGCACGTTGATCTCGGAAACGACGCCTCCGAGTTTCATAGGCGATCAAACCGAATTATCTGGTATTCCGGCGTCGAGCGGTGAACACAGCAGACAAAGGACTTCCACGCCTATTAATATCGATAACTCCAAAACGGGATTCACCGACTCGGATTTATCTTCTATCAAGCACGACAAGTCCAATTCGAAAAATTGAACGGTTATTATGTTATTGATTGATTGATTGGATTTTATTTTTATATTGTAATTAAAAATATTTTTTATAATTTGTTTGGAATTCATTTCTATTCTACCAAAATTGCATTTTTATCGGGTGTGAATTTAGGCTCAGCTGAAAAATGCATTTTGCTCGGCATAAAAAATTATGAACGCTCAGTTAAAAAATTTAAAATGCTTGTTTAAATAATGAAAAATGCCTATTATAATAGTTATTAAAAATTGCAATACAAAATATTCAATTTGCATATGTTCAATATTTTAACAAAATATGTATTGTAAAAAATATCAATGCTTGGAAACCATTTTAAATTAAACCCTTCTACCCTCCGCTACCCCCTTCTTCCCTCTGCTACCTCCTACCTATACATTTTCAGAAAAAAAAACTTCATAAAAACCTATGTTCTAAACGTCTTAACTTTGAGATAAAAACATTTTTTTTGTCATACAGAAAATCACCGAATTTTATTTAGCAATCGTGAATAGCGTTTTATGATTGTTTGTAATATAAATGTATTTTTCGAACCTCGCAGCGTTTACGGGACGGGGTTTTTAAATATGTAAATTACATAAGTCCTCGAGGGACTTCTAAAAGTCGATTGTCTTTCAAAAGGGTTCATATAAAAGCTCGATTCCGAAGGTTTGATGAATGTAAAGTTCATCTAATATGCATGAGAACAATTTAATGCAGTCCTTTCCGTCGACTATTGAATGTAACGGGAACATTTCCGAGTTACTCTTTTCATTCGATTCCATTTTACGCTTCACCGTAAAATACGTAAATATTTTTGTAAAATTTAAATAATAATTTTAGCTTTTCGTTACTTTTAGACAGACTTTCATTTAAGTCGCAATACTCCGCCTATGGGTGTCTTAATTGCACCAATTTGTCTACTTTTCTTTCCGTTACGATGCTCGATAGTATTTATATTCCATTTATTTTCAATTGAGATACTTAATGGTTTCTCGTATTTCCTTATGGGTCAATAGTTGAAACACGCTTCGACTTTCCCTCAAATATTTGCTCGTTTATTAGCTCAATGTTTTAATTTCCCGATGAGCGTTATAGAGCAATAATAGCTCCTACCATTGGAGCATAAAATAACAAAGTTGAAAAAAATCGTTCAAATTATTTTTCCTTAATGTATTTTTTTTAATGGATAATACTTGTATTCGTATATTCATAAAGAAATTTTTAATGTAAAAATCTAGGGACTATGAAAAATTAAACTATCAGTTCTTATCATGATTTTAGAAACTGAAATCTAAGATCATGATCTTGGAAACACACAGATGTATAGTCGGATATTTGAATATTTGGGTGGTATTTTGCAGAAGGTACAGAAGGGGCTGTAGGGTATGGGTACATTTCGAAGTAATCGAAGTAACAAACAAATATCTTGCGTTGAAAGTTTTTTTTTTACTTTTTTACCAATTGTCCCTTAGGTATATCGAGCCATTCGTTTCATCCCCGTAGTTTTATAATAGAATGCAGCGCATGAGCCGCCAAAGTCGATATTTCCTTTAACCTTCAATTTTATGTTGTTTACCCCGACGAAAATTTTCACCAATCAATTTTTTGTTTGACGATATTTGTTGATTTTGTTTGTTTAGTTGGTAAGTGTATAATATTAGTATACCTACGTCAGATCTTCGCAAAAAATATCGGCACCTAATAAACAGTTGCACCTGCCATGCTTCACCATTAAATCTAATGGATGTAATGAATTGTTGATTCGCCACATCTAATGAGGCTCAAAAGAAAATTAAATAAGTAGTAATTGAATAAAATGTTTTAATAATTGAAACAGTAGATATACAAAAAGTTGATTCATGGGTATATGTCAAGATTATTATTACATCTAGTATAATGTTTAAAAACGCAATTTATATTATGAAAATTAGCATGTGAAAAAATAGGTAGTTTATGACCTTCATGAGTAATATACAAAAGAAATAGCTGATTAAAAGAAGTGAAGAACTTTTTGAGTATAAAGCTTGGTTAGAGGCCGGCAAATTGTGCAATTTAAAACTAGAAGCTTTTCACTTAATTAAATCTGCTACCGCAAAACTATACATATTTCCTGGTAGGTGCATTTATTTTTTAAATTTTTAGATATGCCTTTAGATAATCCCCTAGCCGCTGAAAAACCCTGCGGAATTTCAGCGCTGTCGAGCGAATGGCAACAAAAAGCGGAAGAGGAATTAAACGAGACTCCTGAGGTTTTTCAGCGAGAATTGACCGCCTTGAAACGAATGGTAGAAAGTAAGAAATATTATGCTGCAATAATTATAAGGGAGTTGTAGATGTGAATATTTTATGTAAATTGTACGCCCACAATCGTTGTTCATAAAAATACAATTACGTAAATTTTTCTAATTTATTTAAAAGTTCTCGACTTGACTGCTTTGCTAAATCTTAAAATATCTTTAAAAATATAGGTACAAAAAATATATTTCATATTCCCTTTCAGCAGTTAAAAAAGGAAAAAGAGCGTATATTTGCATTGTGTAATCATTAAAAAAGCGGTTCGACGTCGCTTTTTTCGCTGAAACATGAAGATGAATGAAAAGAATTTCCAGGGTAATTTGTTTTGTCTTAAGAATTCCCCCAGGGGTCTTATTAAATTTATATTTTCTTTACATTGACGTGGCCGAGACTGCGTGTTATTCAGGCGTTTATAAAAATTATCTCCGGTTTTGCGTTGGCGGAGAAATTTAATTTTTCTAGACATTCAAATTATATTTCGCGCAATTCCAATTTCACTATACGACAGTTTTCATTTGTATTTCAGACGATACTAATTTAGTTGTACCGAATTACGATGAGTTTCTGGTCAGATTTCTTAGAGCTAGAAAATATGACAGTACAAAGGCATTTCATATGGTAAGCGCATAAACGGCCGGTTGTTATATTGAATTAAATCATCTGAAGAGCGTGTAATTTGTTTTAGCTTCAAAGATACTTTTTAATGAAAATTAAATGTCCCGAGCTTTTCCAGTGCCCGTTGCCTTCTGAATGTAAATCGATGTTCGACTTACAAGCACAGAATATGCTGTTACAAAGAGACCAATTAGGTAGACGAATTTTTATTATTAGAGTTGGTAAGTACACAAATAATACAAATATTTACTAATAATTTGGCTATTAAGGTCATACTCGTATTATTTATTTACTAGATATATATTTATATAGAAAAAACAGGCCTTTTGTTAGGTATATATCGTATATTTCAGATAATTTCGATTCTTCTAAAGTGACTATAGAAGAAGTGTTTCGTACAAACGTATTAGCTCTAGAGCAAATCGTGAGGGAGCCGGAGACCCAAGTCGCTGGTTTGGTGGTGATTTTGGACATGGCGGGTTTGAGCTTGCAGCACGCCAAATTTTTTACGCCCTATTACGCCAAGAAGATGGTCGAACTCGTGCAGGAAACATTTCCCCTGAGATTCAAGGGTTTCCACGTGGTGAACGAGCCGTTCTACTTCGACGCCGTCATCACGGTGCTGAAGCCCTTTCTGAAGGAGAAAGTCAAAAAGAGAGTAAGTGCTCAATTCGAGGCGAAACATCTCGGGCGGTTGCGGGATTAAAAAATTTAAAATTTCAGATAATTTTGCACGGCAACGATTTGTCTTCTTTGCACGGCTTCATTTCGACTGACATTCTTCCGGCTGAGTACGGGGGAAGCGCCGGCAATTTCGACAACAGGGCTTGGTACATGAAAATATTAGCCGACGAAAGTTATTTTAAAAAAGCGAGAGGTTTCGGCTATAAAATTGATGAAAACGTCGTGGAAAATTGAAATAGATTGTTTCTTGATAACGCCGTATACATGAGGTAATCAGATTTTTCTAATAAGTTCCTTAGAAAATCATTTTTATGGATTAGTTTCGTTCAATTCAAGATATACTGAAGGCGCTAATTAATGGTAATTAAAAATTGTAGCGATTTTTCACCAAACATAATTTGGTATACAGTTACAATTGATTAAAAGTAGTAAAAAAAATTTAATTTCTTGTATGCATAAAGTTTATTATTGTTGCTATCGAATTAACTAAATTTGATGCACTGCCCTAAAAAATATTGTTAATTTTAAATATACCTAAATTGATTTCTCCACTCTTTTGGAGTGTTTTTGTATGTACCTATAATTGAGTTGAGTGCAGGTATAAATGTAAATTTTCTATGTGCTGAATTTACGCCTACATGCTTTCGAATTTTCAATGTTGATCTTTAATTTATTAACATGACGTTATACAAGACACATTTTAAATATTTATTTTGTACTGTAAAGGTTGATACGTTGTTGAAATTGTTGAATTTATTAAGATATTTTTATCGAAAATGATAGTTTAGGTAGATATACTTTTAATCATATTTTTTGTTGATATTAAAAAGTTTAATTAGTTCTTATAGTGCTAAAGACTGTTAAAAATTCATGCAATAAGAGGAAGAAAATAAATTGTTTGGAAAGTTTTTTACAAAATTAATTTACGAATAGTTAAAAAAATCATTTAACATCTTTTTCTCTATAGTTCTATACACTAATAATTTTAATTTTCTTTTAATAACCTACTGATATATTAAACCAGTTATTTGTTACTTCTATAAACTATTTTTTAGTTATTAAAAGTTTTGTTTTAACAAATTAGAACTTAATTTAGTGCTCAAAAATTAACTATAGTATTAATGTCGTTAAATAAAATATGAAATTGCAAATTAGTTGTTTTTATTCTTTCAAAACGTGTTCTATAGGTGTACATAATTGAAATGACCGTGCAATTAGAAATACATTTTCAAAATTACTCTTACCGCGACATTACATTCTAATCAATAATTTATATTCCCTGTACCTCAACCTTTTTCCCTAATAAAAATACGTTTCCAAAGGAGAAGAGAAAATAAAATCATTCCAAATCCCACTCGCTTAAGAATTATTTTATTCCTGACGCTTTTCATTCGTATGTTTTCATTCATTATGTCGCTTGCGATATCGCCGATCTTCGTCAGAATATGAGGGTAAAAGTAACGCAAGAGAATTAGCAGGCTTTATTTATTATGAAATTTTTGTTCTCTTGAGTTTCCGGTTGATTTACCAAACGTGTGGGTTGGAATTTTATTTAACTCAAAATAATTCTTTGTCGGTATTTTACGAAAAGAATGTTTTTAGTACGGTCAAATTTATCCAGATATCAATCGAATGTATCGTAAAGCTCGTAGTATAAAAAAGTACGTTATAAAAACGTGTATTAGAAGTCAGTTTAATTTCCGCGAGAATTTCCGGATTTTCCGGACACGGTCCCGGACTATATCTTTGCCGCCGGCGTTCAAAGAAGCCGTTTTGGGCAAAAACCGCCCACCAGGACGCAAGCGCCCCGTTCGCCTCCCGCTCAATTTCAACGTAAAGCTCCGGGATAGAGCCGCACTCCGAAGTCCGGGTAGCAGTGAGCTTTTCTCCGGTCACCGGAACCGATCCCGCGCTATTCGACAAAAAGAATAACGACCTCAATCGATATGTGCCCGTCGCGTATTAGGTTATGTGCGGTTATTTCACGTGAGGAGTGATGTGAGCCATTGTTTTTGTAGAGGTATTAAATCGACATGGGGTTGCTTAGAGAAAGGGAAAGCGGGCGGAATGTGGAAGCGAATTTTTCGGGCAGAATGACATGCAAGTTGTATTTTCAAAAAAAATATTCGCTGAACTTTTTTGTTTTTTAAACAAACAAAAATGATTTTTTAGTACTACGAATGCGTTGTAATTAAGAGGAAACAAAAAAAAATCTAGTACATTGGAATTTAATAAAAAATATGCGGATTTCAGTATGTTATAGGTATTAAATTAAAAATTCTTGTGGTAGAGTGAAATTCGCAATTGGTTTTATGAAATATTTCGAACCGTACTTTGTTACGAATTTCTCGTATTTTAACTGTCGCAGTTATCGATAAAATTTGTTCATAACTGAATTATATTTCATCGCATAACAATAAGCGTCAATAGAGGCGTGCTGATTAATGTGGCCAGGTAGAGGGAATGATAAACACTCTTGATAGCTTTATAACTGTATAAAACGTAATTATAAAATATTTGATAATAAAATAATTGAATTTTGATATACCTATTGAAATTAATGAACTATAGAGGGAAGTCAACGGTTCGTTAATAATCGTTTTATAAAAAAAACTTTGTTAGAGGATTCTTTTCTCTTTAGATTGTTTCGAGCAAACAATGTTAGCGAAGGAGATCCTGGAATTCTCGACGAAAAAGTTAAGTAAATGCGACTAATTAAATCGCTTTATCGTTTCATTTCCGAGGAGACCCGACAATTCTATTTCCAATTTTTCCGCTCTGGTTATTTATAGCACGCTGCCTCATTTATCTACTTTTTCTACGGTCAATTATCTGATCATTTACGTAAAAAGTTCTTGTATAAAACACATACGTAAAATTGAACACCGGACATTGGTTTGGAAAAACTTTTCGCATTAACCGATTCTCTAATAAAATCTCCAGAGAAAACTCAATTACGTCGAGCGATTTTCTTTTTGTTTTGCTCGATTTTGTTTGGGAAACCGTTAGTTTCAGAATGTATAAGTTTTCATCGACATTCCGTGCGGTTTGGGAACATAAACGAGAACATATACGCTGCTGTTGTAGTTTTCCTCTTCCGCCTTTGATTTCAGCTTCCTTTGACTACACAATCTTATGCACCTATACTGGAGGTTTCATGTAATGAGTTTTGTAACGAACAGCTTTACACGCAAAAGCACAGCTAATTTGTTAATTTTGGTTTATTTAATTATATATTACATTAATGATCCTGAAGGGAAAATGAGATATGTTTGAAAGCTAACAGCTAACACGCACTGAAGGTAATTCAAAAAAGTAAAAAAAATGGTGGATGTTACAATTGATCCACCATTTTTAATCAAACGCCAATTTTCATAACGTAATTTTTTTATTAAAAAAAGAGGAGCAGTCATTTCGAATACGAAATTGAAATTCTCCCCTTTATAACCCGCCTTTTAATGCGGTTATTCATATTAGATGACGTCACAATGGATTCAGAAGGCGATACAGAAACCTTTAATAATAGATCAATTTCCTGTATATAAGAGTTCCACAATACCCACCAAATCCCTGCACTTCAATTTACTCCACAAGGGAATGAATTGTTGCGAGCATGAGCGTAGAATTAAATGCCCCCTAGAGAATAAAAACACCTACAAAATTTACCAGATAAAAATCAAACAAATTAAATTTATAGACCAATAAACTTTCGTATTTCAGTAAAGGTGTTTTTTGAATAATTACGAGTTTATAAAGAGTTTACTGTAATTTAGAAATATAGGCGATATCATCTCATTTCTTCGGTCTTCGTTACTTTAGCTGTTTCTGTCGATCCGTGCGTATTATATTTCATCAAAAAATAAGTAGGCGCCTATATACAATTTCATGAAAATAAGAGGTGGCTCGAATTCGCCGTCCCTGAACGGCGGTTTCTCTCCCACTGTTTTCGAAAAAGGCATTCGTTAAATTTATCTCGGGAGGAAAAAGTGCTGAATATTCAATTCGCGCAGCTCGACTTACAGCTGGGGCTGCGAGCTATGCGAGTAATTACACCTACTTGGCAAGGTTGCACGAAATTAAGATAACAGTTGCTATGGATATCGAGGTAAATAAAAAGATTACGGTTTTGGGTATTATGTTATTTTTAACCGTCGCTATAGGAGGCGAAAACGGAAAGAAAAACTTTATTTCTTTGACAGAAATGACCGTTTTTGTTTGATGAGAAACGTTACGTGAATGTAATTCCATTAAGAATGGTTCGGACTCCGTATTAGAAAAGTAATAATGTGTTACAAAATAAATTTGATAGGTTGTTAAAATCGATTATATTGGTGATGCAAAAAACGAAATATATTATACAGTGTGGCCCAGAACTCACGCCTCACCTTGAAAGGCCTTATAGAAACGACAATAGAGATACCAAAACTGCAGCCGAAGAAATGTAAAAGTTTTTCCGTTGGTAAATAAAGGGTAGAAAATCCACCAATTTCAGTAGCAGTTCACATACGCGAAAATGACGTAAATTAGCTATACACCAATTCGACATTATTGAAAGATTCTATGTCCTTTTCACTTTCATGGTTAACAAAAGCTGCCAAAATGAGCTGATGCGACTATTGATTAAAGATTTGCTTCCAAATTGTTCAAAAAAATTGATCATTCGATTCGAACCACTTTCGAAGCAATACAAAATTCTGTACGCTTGGTATCAGCACGGCGGAGCTCCAGAATGATGAATTTGAAAGCAAATCTTTGATCAATAGTGGTAGCTGATTTTGGCAGCTTTTGTTAACGCTGAAAGTGAAAAGGACATGGAATCTTTCAATATTGGCAAATTGGCGAATAACTAATTCACATCATTTTTGTGAATTTGATTTTATTTATCAAAGGAAAAACATTTTCATGTCTTCAGCTGCAGTTTTGGCATCTCCATTGTCGTTTCCATAAGGACTTTCCCGGTGGGTGGTGAGTTCTGGGCCACCCTGTCAAATGTGAAATATTCGAATCGTGCTGAAATAATTTCATTTTAACAAAATTAGTCAAATTATAGCGCAAGAGCCCATATAAATCAAACATCACGATTCATCTAAAAATTGATTGACTTTCGGCGGTATTGTTCATTTCATGCGTAATTAATAATCTCTATACAGAACACCCCAGGGGTACTTATTTACATTTGCGCGAACATATGAAGCAAAATTTCATATTATTACAAAAAAGTAATTATTGAATCTGCATGTTAATACAACAATAAAGCTTAGGTACCTATATTCAAAATAATTTAGTTTGTATAATATCATTTTTGTCGGTGTTTAATTTGTTAAAAACAGCCTCCAATCGGCTTGATTATAACGATGTAAACGAAATTACCGAACTACCTATAGTCGTTTTGAAAGCGGGCTAATTCGAAAAGTGCCAGATCAAAGGATCCCATAAACCTATTTGATAACCTCATAACGTTCATAAATGACAAAGACCCTTTATCGAGTTAGGAATCAATCAAAATGTTATTTACCTCTTGTTTCTGCCCATTTTGCATATACCAATTTCTGGGTTGTTCCATTAGCTAAACGGTTATAAAGTATCTTTATGTAACTAAATAAAGAGGCTATAAATAAGGAATATTTTAATCTCAAAAGTATGGTTATTGAAAAAAAATATTAAAAAATTGTGCGACGTCCCTTTGAAAACATCCTTTTATTACGTAATATAAAAGAATTATGAACTTTTTTGCTTCGCGCAGAAAGTACATTTTCGGGTAAAATCATTCAGCAGACATAAAAATATTCAGAGTTTTAAAAAATCGCATTCGGGCTGTCGCGAGGAAAACAAATGGTACATTCCGAACAGGCATAAAACCCGTTGGAATCCAACTTTATTCATTTTTAAGGGTCCATTGATTTTTCAAAGGAAAAGCAAGTTATAAGCTTCCGTTCGACATAAAAAAGATATGAATACGGTATACGCGAGCATTATCAAATTCTCTTCTTCGGGGATAAATTTATGGAAGCATGATTTATTCGCCAAAAGTATTAATCCAATATATTCACCAGAGTTGCAAAATTGATTTCTTATTCTATTATATTCACTGAAACAAGCAAGAATAAATAGTACAAATGGAGAAGCTTTTACTTTAGAGTTTTTACTTTATTTTTAATGAATTTATAAAATGTAAATATATCATTTGTTTGTAATAGGTATGGTATCTAATTTCGAATTTAATGGACTTTCTCCACATTCTCATCCATCACGATACCCTGAATTTTATTACATTAGTACATCATTTGGGCTGCGAATTTCACTGTAATACGACATCAACAAGCGGAGAATCATAAATAGGACCTGTCTGAACGCCAGAGCGATAATTAATAAAGTTCCTTTTCCATTCTTTGCGTCGTAAACTAGTCGAAACTGCAACATTGCATGTCATGCCACCATCGCGTGCTCGATTTCCACAAAGCTTCTACAAATACGAAGAAATAAACCGTAGCGAATAGCGGTTTCTCAAAAAAGTCCGACGATCCCACTGGAAAGCCGATACAGCACCAATAACTTATAGTCCGAGGATTATTTGCAGTAAAATAAATCTTTGTTACTGCAAGATAGATGTAACGGTTATTCAGTGGGATAGTGATAATTACGAGTAGAAAGATGCGTCTCAAGAACATTGTATATTCGTGAAAGATACAAATCACAATAAAAAATGGAGGATCAGAAATCAGCTGGTAAAATGAAAGAGAGCTGCTATCTCTTCAACACGTTCACCGACCCTTCTTTGGAGAAATTGTACCAGAGCTTCAATGTCAAGCAGAAGAGGGCCGGCTTGGAGTGTTTCCTTTTAACAGCCATTTTATTCGACATCTATATGCTGGTGGTAAGTACCTACTACCTATCTAAATATTTCTTTTCCTACTTTTGTTTTTTCTGAATAGTATTGCTCGTTATTTCCTGGGCAATTAAGTCGTATCATTGGTGCAAGTTTCACATTTGTTGCGGCTACAACCGCTCTCATTCTGCCGATAAAACCTTTTATTCTAATTACCACGGCTTTCGCATCGAAAATCTGCTTTGTATGGGGCTCCATTATATTCGAGTCCGATTCGACGGGCTTTCGTCAAACGTTTGCGATGACATAAGCGTACTATAGTCGAGCCCGACTCGCAGATACGTTGGCATCGCTGATGGATATATTTCCACGGCTCCATTAATCAGACAAAGGTCTAATTGAAGCCGGAATTATTGCCTCGGAGATGAGCGTTCGAAATATGTACGGAGTTTTCGAGGGCTTATCCTGTATATTTTCGTTCGTTCGTTATTGTTTTAACGCGCCTTTTTTTAGCGATTTTTTGCGAAATTGGTTTGGTATAAGCGAAAAATTCATTTGTGTGTTTTTTATGTAACTTGTTTCAATTTATTTGTGAATAAACCGCATTGTTAAATGGAATACGTATGCATTAAATTGATTGGAATTTTATTGTGTCTAATCGAACAAAAACATAAAAATCCATTTGTATATTTGAGCACGAGTGAACAAAATTCGTGACTAAGGGTTGTAATATGTACAACTAAAAACGGAAAAAAGCAATTTTGTTTAATATATGGTGTTTTGATAAATAACGATAAAAAATTCCACTAAACATTGATCGGAAATTGCAGGTAGCTTTTTAAATATTTACGTATGTTCCATATATGTAAATAATTTCTTTGAAGAGCAAAATGATATAATTGAATTGAATATAGAAATTGTCTGGATTATGTAAGAATATCCAAACCCACACACTTAGATAAGTGGTCTGTCTGGAAGTGTTTTCCCTCCGTGGGAGTTATATCAATTTTACTAGTCACGGGTTTCAATAAATGGTGGGTTTGACACGCATTCACCAATTTCTTCCGCATTTTCTCTATCGAAAAATCAGCGATGTTGTAACTCAATCCGAAATATACTTAATTAGCGTTTTTATTTTATTTTTCGTTGCACCAACCGTGAGAATAGGTCACCACGAACTTGCGAACACTTTCTAAAGAGAGGCGATGTAAGCCTTTGGGTCTCTATTGATTTCCTCGAAACTTTAGTGAAGTTCCGTTTCATAAATGTTCACGAAGAAGGCAGATAGCATCGAATTTCTGACGACAATGGTTAGGGAAAGAATTTAAGGGGCTGCTGATGGTCTTTCGTTCCTTTAACCAGCCCATAATATTATAAAAATCGGTTGAAGTTTATGGAACAATTTTTTTTAGAATAGAACAGAACATTATTTTTTAATTAGGAAGCCTAAATATATAAGAATGTAGATAAATTTTGAGGGGATGTGTTAATTACTAGAGAATATGCTTAATTTGGAGATATCTAATTTAAAATTTTAATAACATTTTACAAGCCTGAATGGCTTTAAATAAGCTTTACTTTTTTTAAAGTGATAATTTCGGTTCAAATTCTGTAGAAATATCGTTTATTATCATAAGAAAACCATTAGCGAGTTGTTTGTGTTTCATTAAATAGGGATATTTTGCGAAAAGAAAAATCTCTGGGGGATGGAAACCGAAGCGTTTACGTGATCTGCATTGATAATAGAAACGAGAGGATCTCTGTAAAATCGGATAATTCATTTCTATTATACCGCTAAGCGCAGTACATTTTATTTTATCCACAATTCAAACAGTTTACATATGATAAACTCAAAAAACGTTATTTGCCGCAAATAAATTCATAATTTATTTAATTCCTAGTACTAACCTTCCCTGCATTAGTATAAATATTACCTTCTCGATGTGAATAACGAAGAAAACAAGTTATTAGCGGAGACTACATTAATTCTATAAATACTTTTATTTTGAAACCATAAAAAAGTATGTCGTTAATGAGAGGCTTTATTTCTTCTCTCGTCTCGTTGTTGTCATTGCCTTTTTAAAGACCAATATTTTTCTTTAACGAATGGATAATAAAAGCACTGATTTTAGGATGAATTTCAAGGTGCTTGCGTGACTGGAATCTATAATACGAAAAATAGTTCTGAATAAATTCATTGATTCAAGTGTAATCAGTTGTCATCGAGAATATATGCGCTTAATAAAGCAAAATTAATCAAGAAATGTGCCATTTATATTTTACTCCTATACGTGTATAAGCAGTCACATTCGTTAGATTACATTCCATTTCAAGATTATAAGTAGGTAATCATGAAAGTAGAAATTTTCGTAGGAATATTTGACATCTAGATATTATGGAACACGCTAATTTATGAGTTATTATGATTCCTTACTCTTAGGAGGCTCACGTATAATAAATAAATCCACACCTTTTAACCCAATAAAATAGTTTTCATTTCAAATGTAATATGGTTTTAGGAAAAAAAATATTTTTGAAGCATATGGTATATATAAATAAAGCACCTTTATGAAATATTTCATCGATGAATTATTTACTTTTACCGATAAATCTCTATTATGTTTTTACGAAGAACATTGTGAAGAAAACATCTGTGCCACGCCACCAACTTTTTATTTCATTATTCTCAATTTTGTTTGGAAAGACCCGCTTGGTCTACATTCACTCTGTTGCGTTAAATGGGCTTTACAAAGTATTCGCATTAATCGCATCAAAGAAAGTCACATACAACATTAGAGGCTCTTTAATAAACCGTTTTTTGTGTGGAACCTTTCACGCGAAATCGACGGTATCGAGAGCGTTCCGCCCTGCACGCCTCGAGCTAGGAGAAAAATCGTAACGAGTTAAATTTTTAACGAACGTAGGGCCAAAAGAGAGGGTCCTTAATTACCCTGTTACCGAAACTTCACATTCAGGGGGAGTTAATACGCGGAATATATGTACATGACATTCTCCGACAAAAGTTTACTCCGAAGAAAATTTATAACGACCGTAATAAACTCGATAATGCTTTCGAAAATGTAGATGTAGAAGTAGATATACTATCTGAAGGCTTAATGGAGACGAATAAATTACTAGCACTTACTTTTCTCACACTTTCTTATATAACAATCTTGTGATTTATATACAACATATTTTTTACCTTATTCACCGTAATAAGTCACGTTTTCGATATTTATCGAGTATTATTATCGTGTAATCTATATTGCAATATAACCTCGTGTATTTTTAGCTTTTCCATTATTTACTTCTTTTTTCTTTCGTGCGTCTCCGCTCGAGCAAGAAGTGTCGTCTGTCAACAAAAGAACCAATTTAGAAGTTAGAGCTATAAATTAAGGTAACAAGGGCGATGTCAATAGTAAGTGTCAATTATAGTAACGAAACTCCAAAAGAACATTTAAGGACATCTTTATAGCCTGCGAAAAATCGTTGCAATAAAAATTCACTTCTCACTTTTTTAACCGAGAACAATATGCATCTCATTTGTAGAAAAGCTTCCCTTTGCATGGGAGTAATTTTAATAGAAAGTTCTCGTTTTAAGGGAGTTTTTATTTTTAAACGAGTTTTAGTTGCATAGTAATTCACCTAAACACCCAATTATGCGAGAATGGAAATACCTCCATACGCGGATATGCATCTCTAATGGAATTTACCGTTGCCAGAAAATATGCCTGAAGGTGTGTTCCCATTCCTATAATTAAAATTTTCCCCCTAATGCGACGATTTCGCTAAGCTGCGCAAACTTGCATCTGACGTGAATGCGTTTCCACAAAGACATACATTAATGTAAACACCCATTGGAAAATAAGTCGCTAATGAACTCGCTACTTCTATGTTCCGGCTTAAACCCGGAGCTTTCGACTGAATGCTAACTGTAATTTAATTTGAATGATACCATTATAGAAAATGCATGCGACATTATTCAATCATATCCGTCATTTATCTTCGAATCAGTCAGCAAACTAATTCGACGTTGCAACTTGGATAATTTCGATTTGGAAATTGCTTCCGTAAGCTTACTATTTACTCAGATTATATGCACTCACTACTGAATATTAAATTTCATCTTATTTACCTGAATGTCACAAAGAGATTGAAATTTAACTCTACAAATTTAATAATTTTAGAAGCTTCAGATAGTTTGTAGATAATAAATACACGTACAATAATGGGATCTTTTTACAATTACATTGAAACTCTAAAGAAATTTGTTTAATAATTTAACAATTTTTACTAATAGTAAGTAGTAAAATACAGAGCTAAGTTATTTATTACTTTGTTTCAGGTCCCGAGCGGTCAAGACATCTGGATCTTCGGCTCCATGTCATTGTTTCTGTTCATAAACGTCTGCGTTTTGATTTGGTGCAAAAGAGGTTTCGAAAGCAAACTGATCTGGGCGGCGGTACCGCATCTCAGCTGGCACGTGGCAAACGCGCAGATCCTTATCGTGCTCTTCCTCAAGAAGAACGAGGTTACGTTGAGAGACAGCTTGGGATGGGTGCTGTTGTTGGATTATTTCATTTACGTCACGCTGCCAGTTCGCCTGCGGTACTGCATTATATTGAGTTTGGGCACTTGCGCTTCCTATATAGCAGCATTGATTGGTTTATCCAAGTCGGATGAGCACTCCTGTAGACAGGTGAGTTTGGATAGTATATTAATAGAGATTAATGTATGCTAGTATAATACAAAAGGCTGGCTTCTGGTAGGATTGTTGTTGCTTGATACGATGGAAAAATTTATTCTAAAGGATTGTAGGAAAAGGCTCGAATGCTAAATAAGACAGGCTGTTGTTTTCTGCTCGAAGGCATCGAATGTGACAAGGGAGCGACATCTGGGACATTCGTAATGCAATAATATTTGACTAACGCCAATCCGGCGAATCGCTGGAGATCCGGAATATCAAGTGGATATGAATTTTGATACTTCAAAGAGATCGATGATTGTTATAAAACTGAAAACCAGGCCATCAGATTTGATCAATAAAAACGAGAACGAAATAAAAAAATACTGTAACCATAAAACATCTATTGTACAATAACGTTAATGGCAATTCTAGTATCTATACTTAGATTCGGTTTTAGAGTATCTTTGCATGTATAAAAATAATGATGATTGATAAATAGGTACAGCAAAATTCCCAAATATAGGTATGCATAAAATAGATATCAATCGAAATGCTATCGACCAGCACCATTCCGACCTTGTACAGAAATAAAGTACAATTTTGTGTCATCCTGAGTAGCTTCTTTTTTCAAGAAAATCGATACAGATTGCACGGAGATTCAACTTAAAAGTTTCGGAATTCGTGCCCGACGAAATGCAATTCGACTGTTCTTTGAAAGAAATAACGCGGGTTATTGAATGAAATAGTCGAGAGAAGTTTGCGCTCGTATAATGACAAGAAAGTTCCGAAGGAATTATAAAATTTTCATGCAATTATAAAACGAAAATACACCTTCGTGGAAATAAGTATTTAATTTTCAATTATAATTCGGAAACTTTAATCTCGAATTGCGTTATCTGCACGGAAAGTTTACCGATAAAATGAATGTTCGAAACCAGATATTTGCCACGTGGAGATTTTAATTTCAAGGCTGGCTTTCCATCTTAACCCGATATCGGATTTCCGCACAAAAATGGATTTGTGGTTAAATTCTGGATATACCTACCCCGAAGGCACTCATTCACCTACTGATAAAAATGCAAATACGATTTTGAAAATCCAATAAGGTGACTCGCATCAACCGCATATACAACGGACGGGTGCTGTATTTCTCCCCCAACTATCTGCGAATACAACGTAGCTAAATTGCATTCTAAAAATAATGTGATTTGTATATGTTGCTTGTAGTACCTACCAAATTAGTTTATGTACAAACTAAGGGAAATTTCAGCATACAAATGATGTAATCCTTCGTTAAATATTTAACCATGTCTATAAAACAGTATCCGTCGGTCCGGAAACCCCTAAATAAATGCTTGGGATAAGGTACGTGGTATTGTTAAAATATCCCCAGTCCCATTAATCTCTTTTTCCTTAATTACACCCAAAATTTTAGAACTAATTTCACGTGACCGTACATATAAAGGAAGATAGTTTATCTGTTGAGGGTAGGTTGAGTTTATTTTTGGACTCTCGAGTCAATTAGTCACTTGACGGGTTATTCTCTCCAGGGTTTATTTTTGGTATCACAAGTATCTTTTTTTATTCACGTGCATGCCCGAAATCTATTTATACAAAAGGTACGTGGTTTGTTTTATTTTCGAATTATGCACATATACATTTAACTTTTGCAAATTATTTTTCATAAAATTACACAGCGAATAAATAAATTAAAAGTACCTACTAACAAGTGATTTATAGTCATATTAAGTAGAATCGTAAACGGAGTAAATTTATGAGAACTTTCTGATGAGAAAAAAATAATGTTATCTGTATTTTAAATGTACATATCGTTAAAAATTTTACGCTTCCACGCTCTGGAAAATATCAACACTCTCCAGGTTTCACTAATACCGGCAAAGCCGCTTTTAGATAAAAAAAAGTAATCGAAAACTAACAATCGACATTGTTCGAAAATAAAAAAAGTAAAAAAAGATAACATCGGCGACAGAACGTGATAAAACGCCGATCTGGATTATTTCCAGGAAATAATCCACGAAACGCTGGCGGAATTTTTCGAAAACTGGATCAGTTTGGAATAACAGGCGAATTTTATAATAATGGAGAAGCTCGAACTATCGATTTCGAAATTAATTAAATGGCTGATCGCCAGAACTTTGCGGAAATCAATCACCCGTTCCAATTGACAAACGTAATGAAAATCGACCGTTGAAAATCTATCCCCATTGCATGTATCGCGCTTTTTTTAAAGGTTTTTAAAATTTCCTTCAACGCATTTATGAAATTCATAAGATGGTTGGCTGTAAACACAGTAATTAATACTCTAGCAGCTTCAGAATATGTGATGAAGACAGCTGATTACAAGACAATTTCAGATTTCAACACTCTGGATTTATGAACCTACTTAGGAGTATCTAAGTTGGAGTTTGGTTTTGGTGAAAACTCTACTTTTAATATAAAGGCTCAAGCTTCATTGTACTAAATGTATGTACTAAAACTAATTTTATGGACAATTTCGAGACCACCAAACATATTTATAATATAATATAAAAAATATTGGTTACAATTTCATTTATTATAGGTATTATTAAAACATTTCCCGGTGAAATGAGTTTAATTAAACATTGATGCAACTATAGAACTTACACACATGTTTATATTCAAAACAAAGTTTGTTTATAACAAACTTTTTGCGATATACATTACTGTGTTTACTAGAAAATAATAATATGATATTTATATTCGAATTTTGAAAATTAGGTAATTAAGAACTTCTAGAAAATTTAGAAAAATGCAAGCCTTGAAATAGGTAGTAGCTACCTAATTAAAAAAAATCAAATAGTAAAAAATAATCCAGATATAAATATTCCTAGTAAAAATAAAATTACGCCCTTGTGTAAATCCTTAACTAATTATTAAACACAACTTTTCAATAAATTAGTAGCGTTTCGATAAAACACGCCAACAGTACTTGATGAATGGTTGTATTGTTTTTATCGATTTATACTCCAAAATTGAATCGTAACGCGCCTCATGATAATAAATTCATTCGCTAAACCCTCCGTTACAAAAACAAAGCCCAAAACAGTAAGTGCCGAAACGCTACTAAATTGTTCACAGGGTATTTATGAACCTGATGCGCTTTTAAATCAAACTATTATTATAATCAACAAACTATATTTGAATTATAATAGTTGTTGAGATTTTATCGTCATGTTCCGTATACAATTTGCGAATTAGCTCGATATGGTCTGGTGCAAATCACATCTGAGAGTCTCTTCAAGATTTTCCAGCAAGATATTTCCAAATTTGAATAACAGCGTTACTGGAGTGTCGCTTCGAACAACCACTTACACATTTCCGTGTCGAGCTATTTGTCCTGACCGTATTATACATATAAATTTTATTGTGCACGCCTCGCATGCTCGACCATCTTCCGCGACGTAAACAACTTCCGAAAGAATTTAATAGAAGCCGATGTTATTCGTTATTAAAAAGTATATGGCAAGCGGGAAAATAGAATATCGATTGGTTATAAGATTTGAACGTAAATAATCTAACGCTGCTTCAAAAAGCCAGAAAAATTTAATTCCATTAGCTTCCCGAAATAGATTTCCAGAAAAATTTCTTCTACTTCTATTTATTTGTACTTACGTGGAAGTTTCGAAAGGACGTAAACCGATTTTATATCTAAAAGGGACACGAATTGAATGAAATATGATTTAGGGAGTAGAAACTGGTTGTGGTTACATAAAAAATTGATATATTGCTACAGAAGTGATAAATTTATTAATTTATCCACTATATTATCTACTGCTCTTATCGAATCTACTTCAAATCAACTAAGTAATTAAACTGCTATTAAATAAAAGAAACCATTATAGGAAGGTAGATAATATTTTATTTAGACACATTCATTATCTGAAAGGAAATACTAAACGTTCATAAATTATTAGCACATCGCGTTCTAAGAGGGATAGGGTTAAAACATGCCCGAACGTTTATTGCACACGTGTAACTTCCAACGAATAAATAACGTTAAGAAGATTTAATGATAATCAATATCCTGTGAACTTTCGACCTTCTTCAGAATCTTCGTGCTAATTAAGCGAGTCATCTTGGTTTGTCGCTTTCATTTTTTAATTACTCTCATCTCTTTCGTATGGCCCTTCTTCAATCGATCTAAGAAAAAATGTTTGTTAATACAAGACGTATGTCCGAAAGAATATTTTTTAAACGATATTTTTTCGTAACGGTGTTGGCCCGTTACGTTGCAAATTTATTACACCAAGAATATTCTTCGTAAGTCGATAAAAAGTTAATCTCTTCCACTTTGATATCAGTTGCTATATCAAATATTAACTTACCCGAGATGTTTTACCTTAAAACTTTTCAACTTGACAAAATTTAGGGAGAGGCGCTTAAATAATTCAGCCTCCTTCTTCTTGCTTGTCACAATGTCAAAATATGAGTTTTATTAGGTGGCATAATCGGATTTTTTTCACTCATAATTATCATAATTCCTGCTGTTCATCATCCACTGTTTTCAATGTTAAAAATTAAATTAATGCGCCTACTAATAATTAATAATAAAGTAAACTAACGTTATGTTTTTTAATATCACTCAATAAATACCAATTTACAACAGATTTGTAATAAGCGAAACAAAGTAAATAACGTGTAAAGAAAATTAATATTCAACTCATCATTTTAAGAGCGACTTTAATAAAATCGTGTTCCTTTTCGAAACATCCATATTTACGCATTTATAAGCTTCTAAATAATTAATTTTTGCGCTTTTTAAAGCGTGTATTTCATTATGAATTTCCGTAAATATTTATGCTCGCAATTTTGATATTCCGACTTTACGGTTTTCGTGCAGCTGAAACGGCTCCCTATTCCAGTCAGATATGAAAACTGGAAAGAAGGTCGACTTAATTTTATTGTCAGTTGAATTATTAATTTAAAACAGCTCGAAGGGAAAGTAAGTGTCAGTAATAAGGCTCAGGGTAACTCGCAGTGGATAAACTTAGGGTGACGGTGATTGGTAAAAAATTGATCGGAAGGTCAGGACTATATTAGGCGATTGATTCAGACGAACTCGGCGTGTTTATATTGACATTGGTGCTATAAAATCAATTTAAAGTGTCGTTCGATAAATAGGTTTCTTTTCATAAAAATATTGCAGGAACAGACAATTCTTTGCTTGAAATGAATTTTCTTTTTTCAGCACCTGTCCAATTGCATCTTGCTGATGACAGCAAACTTAATGGGTCTCACATCTTTTCTAGTTGAAGATAAACAACAGCGACGAGCTTTTCTTGAAACAAGGCAGTCGCTAGAAGTAAAGTTGGTTATAGAGGAACAAAGTGCAGAACAGGTAAAAAAATAATATCTTTTATCACAAGGAAAATGAACACTAACGCACTTAACATATCCTCACTTTACCCCTTAACCTACATATCAACATATTTTTTAATACAAACATGATAAATGTTTAATTTGTACTTCAAGACTTTATGAAAGTTTGTACCCTGATTTAATTTTGATTCAAGAAACTGTTGTTTCTTCTGAAGCAAAATGAAACTTTAGAATAACACAAACTGAGACAAATCGCAGTAATTTGAAAGAGAAATTGTACGGGAAAGCTAACAAAGCCGTAGCCGTTAGTCCGACAAACGAGAATGATATTTCTTCGGATATAATAAAGTGAATTTTTTATTGGACCATTTTGCGGTTTTTAATGTGATACAACCTTTATAGTAGGATGTTGTTTTATTTGCAGGAGAGGCTTTTGCTTTCGGTTCTCCCCGAACACGTTGCCGTACAAATGAGGCAAGATTTAGATTCAACAGACAGCCAATTCAAGAAGATTTATATGAGCAGACATGAAAATGTCAGGTAGGGAAAATCGTTGGAAATCTCACCCAATTAAATTCACTCCCTAAGCTTTTTAACAATGTTTATTTATGCTTACTCTTTGTATAAATACATAATAAATTGCTACGTTTAAGGCTATTTGATATTATTTCTAACGAAAATTCGTTAATTAAAGGTGTGTGATAAAGTAAACAGATAATTTATTACTTACGGGTAAAATTAATTTGATGTGTAGAATAATATTGATTTCAGCATTTTGTACGCTGACATCGTAGGTTTTACGGCCATTTCTTCTACGTACTCGGCTCAAGAATTGGTCAAAATGCTCAACGAACTTTTCGCTAGATTCGATAAGTTGGCGGAGGTGAGTAAAAAACTAAAAATTTTCTCCATTATAACAAAAACAAGAATGAGTTCATTAAGATTATAAGACCGTAGTAAAACAATAAAGCTTGTGAATCAGGCTAATGCGGCGAATTAGTCGTGAACCCGCTAAACTAAAATTAATAAAATGTTTATAAAGTTTCTACGAAGTAATTTCGTTATGATAATTAGGAAACTTTCGAGAAATCAAAGTATGCATTCAGAACTTTCAAACTTTCATTTATTCCCCTGGTACATAATTCAGGTACTGAACTAATTATTAAGCTTATAGTAATTATAAACTTTCGTATTTATACATGTTATGTAGGAGCGTTGTTTTTTTCCAGAAATATCAACAGCTTAGAATTAAAATCCTCGGCGATTGCTATTACTGCATTAGTGGAGCACCGAAAGAAAGCCCTGACCATGCCGTGTTGTCTGTACATATGGGCTTATCCATGGTAAAAGCTATAAAGTAAGTTCCAATTTCTATAACTCCTCATTTGCAATTAGGTACTCAACGCAATTTTCGTAGTAAGAAATATTTTACTACTAACTTTAAACGCAAACGTTAGAAAACGGAATCGTTAAAATTCTAACGAGTTGATAAAACTTTAAGTGAAACAGAAATTGTACAGTTTTCCAGCAAACCGTGAAGTGGTTTTTTACGCATAAATAAGTCTAATTTAAGCGAATTAAATTTTTCTGCTTACCGAGTTTACTTTTAGTTTTGATGAAAACAAACAAACAGAAAATTTACCAGAAACAGACTCGAATTGGGTTTTGCATGCATATTTTTTTGCTAAAAAAGAATTTGAAATACAATCATAACGATTTGTTGAAGCTATTTTAAATATTCTGCTTTTGACTAAAATATACTACAAAAGATTGTGCTAAAGCTGAGCAAACACAAAAAGTTGAGTAAATTAAATGCCAAAAAGGAGAATATTTTCATACAATATTTAAATCAACTTGAAGAGATGTGCTTACTCTCTGGAGCTTAAAATTTCAAACATAAAATCAAGCCAATTCGAGCTGCTTGCATTTTTATCAGGGATTTTACGTAACGTTGGCGGAAATTTTAAAACGTGTTTAGCGTAATTTGAGGCGAAGAGTGAGTACTGCAAACAGTAAAACCTATAAAGGAAAATTACAAAGTAATAAAATCGATATTGTTGCTTGCCTTAAACAAAAAAGATCTGGAGCAAAATGTGACCGATAAATTTGAAAGACATCACAGCAGCGCCAACTTAATTATAGACTGAAAAACTTGAACTTAAAATCAAATTCGAAAATAATTTATTATAGTAGGCAAAGGCAAGTAAAAATTAATAAAATCAGGTTTGCCTTTATACTCGTAGTTAAATGGAACGTCGGGAAAATATAGTTAATAAAGCTTGAAAGGAAATAAATTAGAAGTTTTCATGCAGTTTTTTTACAATTCCATTAACGTTTAATAATTCTCTCGTTCATTTTATAAAACTGCTTGCGATTTAAAATCGATAAGTACAAGCGAAATCGGGAGACCGTAGTTGGTGTATATTTATTTTGATTTATCTTACTCCTACGGGCGCAATTTAAAATCGGAAATGTAATTCCTTTTCGATGTGAACTAATATTCAGACATGTTTTATTTTTAAACTCAGCAAATTCGAAAAATTGAATAACATCTAAACTGGAAATTTATTTTTAGAACAAGGCACTAATGTACTTCGCTAACAGAAATTCAGAACCACAGCTATTTCATTGAAACGTATTTTACTCACATACATCAAACAGAATATCTATATTACGAAAGATTTTAGAGCACTTTCATTTACATTTAGTTTTCTGGAATTTTTTAACTCTGTGGATTTTGCACTTTAAATTCCACTCCCTCTGTTCCCAACATTTCTAATTTTAGCCGAACTAAACCGAATCCTAACTCTGCATAAATTCCCGGAATTTATCATCCGTCCAGATTTCGGATACGTTCCAGTAAATCCTCCACTAAACGGGAATTGTTAATTTAGAATTACTATCAAAACCTCTGCTAATACCACACTAAAAATTTAATGAATGTTACAATTAATAAAATACATTAAAACGGAATCGGTCTTTAAAATGTATTAATTAATTATAGGAGTTTCTATTAAAAAACTGTTAATGTATTATTTATAAGCGATATACTGAAATTATAATGAAATAAAAATCAATAACTTGCTTCCGTTAAAATCTTATTTTTTAACACAAATTATATAATCTGCAGATATATTAAAAATTTTAAGCCTAAAGAATTATCTACTAAAGGTACTTGAGATTAGGTATAATAAAAGTGCATTTGCAAGGACTATATTTGCATATAGTATGTTCGACAATTAGTTTCATTACGTCACCGCCATATTAACCTATCTCTAAAGGTTGATGTTCATTAACAAACATTTGAACTTAATCTACTTTTTAATTCACTCAACTCCAGAATTTCAAACACTGCTCAATCGAGCAAATAATTGCATTCGAAATTCCGATAAATACAGTTAAACCCTAATTGACAATACTTGTTTGCGTGCATATTCCAATCAGTCGAATTCAGGCGGGCGAAACAACCGAAGAGAATACGACGGTCCCGCATAAATCCTCCAATTCCGTATCGACGGCAAACCGTTTATTAAACCAGAATTGTGTTTCAGATACGTCCAACAGACAGCGAATTCCCCGGTAGATATGAGGGTCGGCATTCACACGGGAGCCGTGCTGGCGGGGGTGCTGGGCCAAAGACAGTGGCAGTTCGACGTTTACTCCAAAGACGTGGAGCTGGCGAATAAGATGGAGAGCAGCGGGTTAGCGGGGTAAGCCTGTTATTAAGATGAACGATTCGGTAATTTTCTTTGTAATTAATGGAAATTCCGTTTGATATATCCTGTAAGACTGCGGGTTGACTTCAAGGGGCTCGCATTTTGACATATACATACTTACTTACGTAGTTTCTTGGATGGAGAGTCAAAGAGAAAATATCTAATATTAATTTGTATTTCCATACGAAAATTTTAACTTGATAATTCGCTTAACTTTGATCTTCGTAATTATCTAATGTTCGGCGGTAAACGGGAAAAAGGGTTTTGTAATCTCATTCATTTTCGTGGAATAGGATGAAGGAAACGAATTTATACATATAAATGGCCCAACTATGTAATTACAAAAATCACAAATTTTAATCAGTTTTATTAAGTTTTCCTTGTATCTTTACTTTTTTATTACTTAGTTATTGCCCATTTTCTTTTTAATAAAGCCAGTTCTTCGCTGATACTTTATTCCAAATTAATAGCACTTACTAAAGAATTACTGCTTAGCCATTATTTAAGTTTTTATTATCTCTGCAACGTCTTTAGAATTTTTATCGGAATCCTAATTTTCTCTTACCTACTAATATTCCAGATTTTATTACCTAATATTCTATTTGTGTACCTAAATGGTTGCTTTAATAATTAAACAGACCAACGATTTATTTTGGTTTTTTTTTAACAAATCATAATTGATTTACATTGCATTTACGTTTCTTGTTAATGAAATAATTAAACTTACAATTAGTTGAAATTCCATAGAGTAAATATTTACCTTTATTATACCTACCTACCCTGGAACGATACGCCTCCAGACATGGAGATCGACTAAGTTTAAAAGCTTGTTGACAAGCAGATAACTCCTCTGAGAATCTACGTGAATTCCATGAAATCCATTACTTTTAAACAACTCATAACAACTCTAGGCAAATTTGCTCAAGAAACTACATAGTTTCTATTCGGATTTCTAAGTTTATCTTTGTTGCCCGGAAACTAATTTGCACCATCTGTATTTTCTAAATAACGGAGTATTAAATATTTGTATTCGCGTTGAATGAAGTAAAACTTTCTTCCTCTTTTTTACGTAATCCCATTAATTAAAAGCCGACCTACTCCAGAGGAAAAAGGATTTCATTTACAAAGATACATCGTCGTTGCGGCGAAAGTTTGTTAGCAATACGAAAAAAGAACGGGAACACAAAAAGAATTATTCTGCTTGCAGAAAAGAATACATCCCACTTCTGGATTCTTCTTTCCAACAAAAACGACCCACTTCTCCGACCGCATCCACCACATTAACTTTTCTCACCCGGGCTAATCCGCCCTTCTCCGCTCTCTATTCAATAGATTCTGTCCTTGACTTTTCACAGTGACGGGGAAAATTTGATACTTTAGAAAAGGCCCATCTCGCATTCCTGAGTCGGCTTTTTTTAGTTAAATTATATTGGAAAAGTTTCAGTCGATTCGAAAATGGATTTAGAGGAAGAAATCCATTAAAAGTATACCGGAACTTTTATTGCTCGTACATACCTAAATGTTTCAATTGGATCATCGTATTGCCAGTTCCTTACTCCGTTTTATCCTTGTAGATGCGGAAGGAAACGAGTATAAATGTATTGATATAATGCGCTTATTTCAGGAGAGTTCATATTTCTGATGCAACGTTATCGTTTCTAAACGGAGAATTTGAAGTTGAGCCGGGTTACGGAGAAAAACGGGATGAATCTTTAAGAATAGCCGGACTGAAAACCTATTTCATAGTCAAAGTACTTGTACCTGTAAGTTCTTATCGTATAGTTAATATCCTGCATTATTCATTCTACTAACTTATTATTCAGTTTCAACCGAAAACGCAAGAGGTTCAAAACGGCGGAAACATATTACCCGAAGAAGATAGTTGCGTTATAGCTGAGGTAACGTCTGAATCCAAAGAAGAGGAAGCTGCTAATGTATGTTAATATATTCTATTTGTTTGCATTAATTTCATAATGTTGTTTTTAGGAGCCTAATATGGAAAGGACTAGACAAGATTCTACCGATTTCAAAATTAGACTAAGGAAGGAATTGGTGAACAGAGATGGGCACAAGTAAGTTCACAAACAATTTCTGCTATTGCTTTTGTAACTCATTACAAACTATTTTGCAGGGAATTGGCGAAGAATACGAAGTTCATCAATTTGGCGTTTGTAGATCCACAAAAAGAAAAATCATATCATTTGCACATTGAGTCGTTCTCGAGCTTCACGTTGCTCATGTTTTTAATTGTAAGATTAGCAATAGGATCTACCATAGCCATCATTTTACCGAGGTTAGTTGAACACACTCTGGTGAGAACTTTTCATTTTATACAATCTTTTTTTCAGCGATCTAACAATTGATATAACGTATTGTACAGAAAATATTGTGTTCTTTATATTAGTCATAATAGCTATAGCGGAAGAATTTCCTGGGATGGTAAGTGTAAATTTAGATAATGGTTTTTGATTCTGCATTATTCACTTATTTCTAGTCGAAATGCTGGCGAGCTTTCAAAGAATCAATGTTTGTTCGAAGACTGCTATCAACAACCTGTGTTGTGCTTATGGGAACTGTAAATATTTTGGATTCTGTAAGTTAATAAACTTATAAATAAAACTTATTATAACGCATTTTTTGTAGGTAACTTGTGTTCAATTAAAGATACAATCAGAAAATTGTTCAACAACGCACGACTTGAATGCTACATGCCTTTACCCTTCATACTTTAGTTACTTCACTGTTCTTATACTCGTCGCAGCTTCTCTACCAGCCTGTCTCTCTTATCTGTGGAAGAGTTTTTTAATGTTGACGATAGCTTCAGGGCAATGTTTGATCAACATATTGGTCCTAGGTTTCGCTATAGATTGTGAGGAATCGATGAAACATTGGACGAGGTAAAAGTCAATTAATTTAATTCGAATTCTAATTTCCGCTTCGACTGGGAGCGACAAACGTGTTAAATCGCTCGAATTATTATGCACAGTGTGTAGTTCAGATATTCCGGAAGTTTTACCGCGCTAATCCAGTAGAAAATGGGGAAATCGACCTTGAACTTGTCTCGATTAAAAGCGACTTCCAGGAAATACGTCTCTGGCTTCATTCCAGATTGTTCCACCACATAGAGAGAAATTTAATGTGCTTTTATCACATTCGTCTCAGCAATATATTAAGCTAAAAAGTTCGTGGCAGGGAATTTTTTAATACAAAGCTATAAATTTAAAAATGAGCCAAAAATCTATTTTTATTTTTTCAGTATCATTCAAGGGAAGTACACATTATCGGGTCTTCTGCTAACATCTACCGTCGCTTTGGCTTTCCTGGCGAGGCACGTACGTATCGCGTTTTTGGAATAAATAATCCAGACCAACTTCGCGCTGTAACTCCCCCAATTTCGAATTTCAGATGGAGAAAGTATGCAGGGTGCTGTTCCTGTGGCGGAGCGAAGTGGAAGAGCAGAGGGACTGTGCCGAGGATATGCGCAGGAGGAACGAAGCGCTCGTCTACAACATCCTGCCGCCGCACGTCGCCGCTCATTTCATGGGCAACAGGAAGCGACAACACGATGAGTTGTATTCGCAAAGTTACGCCGAGGTGGGCGTTTTATTCGCCTCGATGCCAAAT